GAAGGCTGATGAAGCCGCCGCACCGCGAACGGAGTGGGCGCCGAAGGCGGGGTCTATACCTGCGAGGGAAAGGATCCAGCGGATCCATCGGGCCAAGGTGGTGACCGAGACTGGGGCGTGAGGGCGCACGTAGGAGACTAAGAGTTGGCCCGACGTAGAGGACCGGAGCGAGGAGGTAACCGAAACATACCTGCGGAGGGTGGACACGACGCAAAGCTGCGGGTCGTCGGGAAAAAATGGGTAAAAGACCGAGGTCGAACCCGACTTAGTGCGACGGGAAATGTGAAACGTGACCCCTTCAGGGGCCACTTCGAAAGCGTCCACGTCGAAGGCCCGAACGTCCGAAACCCGTCGGAAAGATACGAGACAGAGGAGGAAAGCGCACTTAGCGGATAGTTGGCGTAGGGAGAGGCGGTCATTCGGAAGCCAATCCCTGAAGAAGCGGAGAACCAGTCCCACATCCCATAGGTGAGGGTATCTGGGGGCCGGGGGACGGCGGAGCCGCATACCGCGGAGTAGACGGCAGACCAGAGGGTCTTTGCCGACCGGGAGATCCCCGACGGGGGTGTGAGCCGCCGAAATCGCGGAGCGCACGACGTTGACCGAACGGTAAGAGCGGCCAGATGAAAACAAGGAGGAGAGAAAATTAAGAATCATGGGAATAGGTGCTGTAAAGGGATCGGAGTCCCGTTCCATGCACCAAGTAGACCAGGAGGTCCAAGCTGAAAGGTAACAGCGTCTAGTTCCCGGGGCCCATGAGTCCCATAAGAGGTCCCTAGCAGCCTGCGATAGTCCGCTGACTCGCCAGGAACCCCGGAAAGAGACCAAGCCACCAGGGGTAGCCGGTCTTCCAGGAGTAGTGGGTGGAGATGCCCTTTGGGATCCGTGAGTAGGTCCGGGAAGGATGGTAGGAGAAGAGGGTCCCTGTAGGAGGAGGCCAGGAGGTCCGGGAACCATGGTTGGCTCTGCCACAAGGGCGCTATGACAACCAGTTTGATCTGTTGCGTCCGTATCTGGTGTAGTGTTCTCGCAATCATGGAGAATGGGGGAAAAGCGTAGGCTCCTGTCGACGGCCATTGTTGGAGAAATGCGTCTGTCGCCTTGCTCTCCGGGTCCGGGAGCCAGCTGAAGAACTCCGGGGTCTGGTGATTGTTGCGAGAGGCAAACAGATCCAGGTGAAAGGGACCCCTCCGGGCTGCAAGGGCCCTGAAGATTCTCGTGTTTAGCTTCCAGTCGCTGACGTCTCTCCAGTGGCGAGAGAACCAGTCGGCTGTGAGATTGATTTCTCCTGGCAAGTATTCTGCCTGTAGCGTGATGTTGCGAGGGAGGCAATAGTCGAAAATGCCTTTCGTGATATCCGACAGCAGGCGAGAGCGAGCGCCTCCCAGGCGGTTGATGTACTGGACTGCGGATACATTGTCCATGCGCAGGAGGATGCAGCAGTTGGATCTTTCCCGGGCCAAGCTGCGAATCGCGAAGGATCCTGCCAGGAGTTCGAGGCAATTGATGTGCATGGAGAGCTCCTGCGCCGTCCATGTTCCCCCCGTGGAGATGGTTCCGTTGGTGGCACCCCATCCCCACAGGCTGGCGTCTGATTCCAGTACGAAGTCTGGAGCGTCTCCGAATATGGCCCTGCCGTTCCAGGCTTGCATACTGTCCAGCCACCACGATAGTTCCTCGCGAACCTCCATCGTCACCGGGACGGGTTGGTCGTAAGTAGGCTTGCGGCGTAGGTATTTCGCCTTGAGACGTTGCATGGCCCTGTAGTGGAGGGGACCCGGAAATATGGCCTGAATGGAGGCAGAGAGGAGTCCTACAATCCTGGCCAGATTGCGTAGTGGAATGGAGTCGAGACGAAGAACCCTGCGAATCTCCTTGCGAATGGCTGTGATCTTTGAGGCTGGTAGCCTCAGAGTGCAAGTTGTCGAGTCGATCTCGAAGCCGAGGAATTGTATCGTCTGGGTAGGGGTCAGCTCCGATTTCTGTTGGTTTACCACGAAACCCAAAGACTCCAGTAGGGACACTGCCAGGTGAGTGTGTTGGCGTAGTCTGTGTTCGTCGGCGCAGAAGATGAGGAGATCGTCTAAGTAGATGATGCATCGAATGCCCCTTGATCTTAGGTGGGCCACCACTGGTTTTAGGAGTTTGGTGAAGCACCATGGGGCTGAGCTGAGCCCGAAAGGGAGGCAAGTGAATTGCCAAGGGCGTCCGTGCCAGAGGAAACGTAGGAGTGCTCGACAGTCCGGGTGTACCGGGACTGACAGATATGCGTCCTTTAGATCGAGCCTGGTGAACCAGTCGTTGCTTCGAAGAAGGTCTCGCAGGAGGTGGATGCCTTCCATCTTGAAGTGGCGGTAGACCACATATGCGTTGAGGGCGCGTAGATTGATGACGGGGCGGTATTCTCCCGACTTTTTCCGAACCAGGAAGATGTTGCTGAAGTAACCACCCCCGTCGCGGACCGGCTGGATAGCCCCTTTGTCTCGGAGCTCGCGTAGCTCCGCGTTGACGAGGTTGTGGTCGGAGGATGACATGTGGATGGGGGGAGGGGGCTGAACCTGAGAGGGGTTCCCCACTAGGTCTATGATATATCCCTGTACAGTTTGTAGGATCCATGTGTCTGAGCATAGGGCGGCCCAATTCTGGAAAGAAAGGGAAATACGGCCCGCAGTGCGGGTACATGGTAACAGTGGAGGAATGTGGGTCCTTACCTGCAGCAAAGCGGGAACGTCCGCGTCCGCGGGGTCCACGACCTCTATCCGAGCCTCTGGAAAAGGGTTGTTGCCGGTAGTCTCTTGTCGGGTAAAACGGTGTTGGTTGGGTGCGGGGGCCTGAAGGCCAAAATCGGCTGGCGGCACGGCCCCGTTGCCGGCCAGCCCTTCCAAAAACCCCTCTGGTAGGGTTGCTTCTGAACACTCTGCGCATTGAGGACTGCGCCTTGTTAAGGGAGGTGAACACGTTCACGTGTTTGTTGAGTTCCTTGAGGAACGGTTCGCCAAATAATTTCCCTTGTGCCTGGGGCCCAATCTCCTTTGTGCCAAGGTCTGCCAGTTTGCCGTTAATACGGTACAACGCTGCTTTTCTTCTCTCCGAAGAGAGCGTAACATTAGTGTTTCCGATGAAACAAAAACACCGTTGTGCCCACTCACGAACATCATGTGCCCATTCCCTGATGTCCTCAGCGGAGAAGGAATCGGCTTTGGTGTAGGCATCATCCGCCAAATACATAATGCGAGCCAGGGGGCCTACAGAATCCAGCAGGTTATCTTGGGCGCCCCATAGGCCTTTCTCCACCCCTCGGCGAGGGTCTCTACCACTGCGCATCATGAAGGTTGACATAACCTTGTCGAATTCCGGGGTCTGCGCGACCTTATCCGGCAGGGAAGGGCGTGGGCATTCGGACCTGAGTCGGCTGCGGACCTCTTTCTCCAGAGGTTTGCGGAGCCACAGGTGCATAAACCTAGAAAGGTGTTCAGGAGGCGACCAGTCACCCGACCTGGGGTGCCGAATGTTGCGGGGGTCGAACATCACTTGGCCTGAGGGGTCCAAGATGGTGTCTGAATCAAGAGGAGGTTCTGCGTCCGCAGTGTCCTCGACACCTCCTGTCTGGGCCGCACCCAGGAGAGTCTCTCGCATGAAAGCGGAGACAGATTTCTCGTCCGACCCCATGCGTCGTAGTCCGAGTCAGAGGCGTCAGCTTGCCATTCATCCAGCACTGACATGGACTGGGCTTCTTGCTCTTCGTCAGAAGAGTACTCCTGACGCGGGGCCGGGGTGTGTAATTTGGCAGACTTGTGCTTGGCAGGTGCCTTACCCTTAGTTGGTTTGGGTGTGCAATCTTCGCCTTTGTCATGGCGCTTTTTAGGGCGGGAATCCTCCCGTGCCTGGTGGTCGGACAATTCAGATTCCGACTCGTGGCGTGGACGTCTGCGTTTAGGTACGTCAGGAGCCGAAGCTCGGGCCTTGGAGAGTGCCTTCTCCACAGAGGCAGCGACAGCTGCGTTAATCATGGCCTGGAAGTCCACAGGGACATTCTGGGAATCTTCCATGGTAGGGTAGGCTATAAGTTATTGAAAGGCACAGTAATAAACAGGCACCCAGGTCTTGGTAGTAGGCGTAGGGTCAGATTTGGAAGTATTGTGGGAGCAAGCCCAGAATAACCCCAGCAGGGTATAGTAGTGACCTTATAAACTGGGGCTCACCCAGTTAGAGAGAACTGCAACAGCTAGTCTCCCAGTAAGCAGCGTCTTTATAGTGGGGGCTCACCCCGGTTGCACAGGGTTGGGACCCTTAAGTGCAGGTCACAGTAATAATAAACAGGCAGCAGCACTGACCTGACTGACCCAGCCACAGGATAGCTTGATAGAAGCAGATGAGGCACAGACTGAGTAGCAGGTTGAAAGCAGCAGATGGGGTGCTTGAGTAGGTAATCCTATAGTCACAGATGGTGTCAGACACAAAAGGTGAGGAAAACAGCAGTTTCAGAGGAACCAGCAAGCTAGCACAGCCACACTGAGTCCATAATGAGATGCACGAGGCAAAACTAAGATGGCCGCGAGAATCTCGCGATGTCCGCGATCCAAAATGGCGGCCGCAAGCCGGGGACTAAATTTTGAGGCCGGCCGCGGATGGAAGCGGGCCGGCGCGAAAACGGCCGCGAATGAAACCGGCCGCAAGGAGGGAGCCCAGGAGGGCACTCCAGGGAAGGGGGGCAGTGGGGGAACCTGGGGGGACCAAGGGGAAGCCAAGGGAGGGTCCCAGGAGGTACAGAGGGGCAAATAGGGGCAGAAAAGACCCACAGAGAGCCCCTAGTCCCACAGCCCTGATGAAGATAGGAAATAGAAATAAAAGGATGTAAACAAAGTGAGAAAATATGTTTGAAATATATATATGGAACAAACAAGAAATGACAATAAATGTAGAAAGCTCCAGGGGAGCAAATATTCTGACCTGTCTGCGATGGAGCAGTAAAGAAAGAGGAAGTGTACAGGCAGCATGACCCTTATATACTATGCTGCTCAGTGATTTATTTGTTACTCTTTACGTTTTCTTTACTGCTGTGGAGTTTAGTAAAGAGAGTTAATGCAAAATAGGAAGCCTCCTGTCATGTTATAAAATTACAACACTGCAAGGACTATTCACCACCATTTTCTAGATTTTGTGTGGTAGCTTATTGCTGTAAAGCAGAACACCTGAATTTACAAAACACTGCAGACATTGTAACAAAACATGAGGGCAATAAAAGTGCACCACAAGTGCAATGCATTAATGGAACTTGCTTCCATAACCTTGCAGTCCAAAATCCATTGTATGCAAAAATATGAAGCAGCTAAAGGACACCTATAGTAACTTGTCCGGAATCCCTTGCAAAGTTGAAACCTACAGCTATCATTTGTAGAGGAAATATGCTAAGCAGATATGAATAAGAACCGTGTCACCGTGTACACATGGGTGAATCTACATGGTAAGGCCAAAGGTAAGAGCGAAATGTGTCTCTAAAGCATGCACAAATCCTAGAGTAACAATTCTCTGTGATAGAAGTTCTCAAATCTGTCTCATGCAGGTGGAGGAACAAAGTTATTAGGTATGTGAAGGTAAGCAAAAGCCCTCTTGTGGATTAAATTGAAAATGCAGATGTGATCCAATGAGAACAGAAAAAAATTCAAGTACTATCAGCCTGAGAACTAAAGTTGCAGTTAGATTTCTATGTGCGTTGAGGCAGAATCATTGCACAGAGTCGGCTCTGGAACTACTGGTCACACATTGCAGCTTTACTTGATATTCACAGTCCTCAGTTCATTATGTTTTTATGTGATAAAACAAAGCTAAAATTAGAGCTACACTACGGGGAGATTTATTATTATTATTTATTTATAAAGCGCCAACACAAGTACCAAGTAAAACGACACAGTACATTATAACTGAGAAAATAAACATTTGACAGACAAATACAGGAGGTGTTGAGGGCCCCATTCCCATGGGAACTTACAATCTAGATTTCTTTAGTGTTTTGTTCCATAAAGTGGTGTAAATATGTATTAGTAGATGTCACCCATAGAATGTGAATGCTGGTTCTATTGGTTTCCATGGTGACTGCTCCACCTTTAAAGGAACACTGTAGCTTTATGTATATAAACATGTTTTCCTAACATTATAGTTTTTAGCTAGCTATAGTAATGTGAGGGCTTAAAGAGTGAGATTTACTTAGCTTTCAGCCCTTGCGGCACTGGTATGGTAAATCTCTATTCTTACGCTGACTGAATGACCCCCAAACACCCTTCATTTTCAGTTAAGCTGTCACTCTTAAGTATACGAATGCACGTCTAATATACTTCCAATTTATATTTAACCCCATGTTAACTTACATATTATACTAAAAAAGTTTGCTCCTCAGCTATTTTTTTTATTTTTTTTACTTGAAGGGAGACCCCAGACACACATCAAGTGCAATGTGTAGGTTCAATTAATAAGAACACTGTAAGTACTAAAACAACTTTAGCTTAATGAATTAGTTTTAGTATTTTGATCATGCCCCTGCAGTCTCGCTGCTCAATTCTCTGTCATTTAGGAATTAAATCACTTTGCTTATGGAGCCCTAGCCACACCTTTCTGTCTGTGACTTGCACAGACTTCCTGTAAAGAAAGAACTCATGTTTAAACTTCCTTTATCGCACAATCTGTTTAATTTAGAATTGCATATCTCCTAAACTGTTAATAGGCTGACAGAGCATACAGGAGCCTCATATTGGATTAAAGTTCAACTAACAGAGCAGGAGATATAAACTTCTAAAGTAAACACACTGTGCTGTCAAACCTAATTGAGATGAAACCACAGCCAGGGGAACAGAAACAAACATGATTTAAAGGGTTACTGCAACCACCATACTAACTACAGCCTGCGGTAGTCGTTTTAATAGTAGGAGTATTCTGGCACTGTTCCCCAGTAATGGGGCAAACCATATTACAACAGTCTGCCTAGGTAACAGGATCTAGCAAGGCACCCAGTCTCCTCTCCTGCTGGTTTACGACATCCGGAATCTGCAGAGATGCAGAAGCTGGGTGCCAATCCTACCTACCAATTATTGGCTGAGAGCGTCAGCAGAGCGTTCTCAGCCAAAATATGACATTCTGGACATAGAAATATGTACACAATTCATATTAGCCAGCCCGGGACTCTTGTTTCCAGCTGAGTAATGATACCCCAACGACTGCTGAATGTGGCGTTATACCTCATGAACAAACGGGTTAAACTCAGTATGTGTAGAGTTTTGGTTTTTATTTTTGATTCACCTTATTTTTATATTTTTGAAATGCATTAGTTGTTTGTTTGTTCAAGCGTTGATAAAGGCCGGTTGTTGGCCGAAACGTTGATATTTTATATGCGATTGTGAATACATTTTTTCACTTTACAAAACCATTGAGTGCTCTCATAATTTTTGGATACATAATTTGTGCTGGGAAGCACCCTGGTATTTCAATAGGCTGTGTGGAAGAGGGAAGAGTGCCAGAAAACTACTATTTGTATACATACATACATATATATATATATATATATATATATATATATATATATATATATATATATACACACACACTACTTTTTCTCTCGTCCACGTAATCTTTGGAAATCTGGGGCAATGTGCAGAGCCTAAACACGTTCCATTTCCATTGTTAAGCTAATTTATCCACAATACATCTGTCAAAAGAACCCAACAGATGGGCAAGTTGCAAACATCATGGACAGAGGAAAACAAAATGGCAGCATCTGGATACTGAGATCTGGCACAAGGAATTAATTATAGCAAATATAAATAAAGGAAATCAAAAGTCTGCCAATTCATGCCCTGAAACTACAACCAACCAAAACACTCACAACCAGAAGTAACAATCATTAAAGAAAAACACCGAACACTATAATAACTACTGAACTGTTGTAGTGGTTATAGTGTCAAAAGTGCCCTGAATGCATCCAAGTGTAATTTGTCAAACTGCTTTAGAACTGTTTGACAACCCATCTGGGTCAACTCCAGTCCCTGTTTCAGAATTCTGCTTGCCAAATAACATTAACATGTTAGCGTTTGAGTACCGTCATGTACTGGCTGTGCCTAGGATGTATGGATAGAGACTCCATCTCATAAAGACAGGATGTGGCAGGAGCACCCAGGTGACCTATATATGTTGTCAAACCATTCTAAAATGATTTGGCAAATTACACTGGGATCTTGGCACCATACCCACTACAGCAAGCTTCACTGGTTATGAAGCGTGGAGAACCACATTAAATTGAAGGTCTCATTGTATTGCCACACAACATTGTGTAGTTTATTCTCCAAACAGAGAATTAAGAAGTATCAATAAGGGAATTGCAAATGGCAGACAAAGCTGTTGCATTTCAAAGAGTCTCCAAATCAGATCATTTCCCTAGACTGTTCTGATTTCAGATTTGCAATTCCTTTGCCAGTTCTCCACACTTCCCAGTTTCAAGGCATAAACCCCAAGTGAGTTGGAAACATGGCCCTCAAATTTGATATTTCCTTGTAAACGAATGATTCTTGATTTAGTGAATAGAAACCCTGTAAAATAAACACACACAAGATCTGGCAACTGTCACTAAATACACAAGCACACACACAGTGCTGAACACAGCTAAAACTATCCACTGCTACAAAATCTTTTGCATCATCGTTACACATTAGCGAGCCTTGCATTTTTCCAGGGATACAACTTATATCTCCATGCATGAGATAAACTGGCCTGTCTATACACTGTCCCTGCTCCAGCATGTAGTGTGAGTTTGCTGCAGTGGAATGTACTTTCCTTGAGCTGTAACTGTGCTGTGTGGATAATGCTGTTGCACAGGAATAGAGGGCCATAGTGCTGACGTTGAAAGCCCAGCCCTGTGTGAGGTTATGCAGGCAGTGAAGGAGGGGTGTTAGAGGAAGGAAGAATGGGAGGGGACCATGGGGAGGAGGCAATCAGGGGCTTGTGGGAGGGAAAGAGAAGGACTTGGAGATGCCTGATTGCTGGAGAGAGACAGTCAATCGTTTCTAGAAAGTCCCTAAGCCAACCGGCTTGCCCTAGTGTAAGAAGCACATCTGCACATTCCCATCCAGAAAGGGGGCTCTGTGCTCTGCATCCAGCACAGGGGAGCCCAGACACCTTCAATGGAGGAGCAGCCTGGACAGCAGCAGCATCATCACCTCCACTCTCCGCCGTCTCACAACCATTACTACTGTTATAGCCACAGTAAGCACCCACCAGCCCCAAACCTGCAGCATGGAGCAGAAGCCAGCGCCAAATACCAGCCCAAGCCGCTGAAACATGACCACAAACACGCCCTACAGCACCAGGAAACGCACCCGAAGAAAACAGGTCCGGCTTATCGGGGGAAGGGATCGACTAGGGGGCCACCCAATGCCTGGTGGGGGTCTAGAGTTGGGGGTAGGATGGATGAATGGCATATCAAGTAAAGGAAGATTTGTGGCTGGGGTGGAGATCTGTTGTTGGGGGACCTGTACTGGATAGTGGGGTTCACTGATTCCTGTAGAATGTTACAGTAACAGTGTTTCGTTCTAGTGTTCGATTGTGGGTTGAAGGTGACAATGTTTGACAAGACACCCGCTATTTTAGTACATGAATAGCTGGGGGTGGGGGGGGCTAGATCTGCCATGTCCCTCCAAGTGCTGATGTTAGACAGAGCAGGGTACAGGGACACATTTGGGGGACACCCTCCAGCTAGGTGATAGGGGTGGCATTAAAATCTGGTATGTGCCACCCACTATGGTTTCATAAAAAGGAGTCAGGCAGGCTCCATATGTTGCCAGGCTGTCAGAGGCCCTCAGATTGCAGTGATGTGCCTTCTGTAGGGCGGGCGTCGTAATGGCAGGGTGTTGTGACCCTCTCTTGTGGATTTGGGGTTTCAGATGTTTGCCAGTTGGATTTATTCCAATGATTACTAACCATATGACACTCTAGCCAATTGGCCGCCCAAGCAACATGGGAAAGGTAACCCAAATAAAGCTGGGATGCCAAAAGATTAGGCATCGTTGTTTTTATTTTGACAGATAACCACCCAGCAGGCCAGCAGTGGGTATAGTGCGTTTATTATAGTTGTCACTACTGGGGTTCATCAACTGGGCACCAATCTCTTGCTTTACATGAGCACATTGCATGTTTAGAGAGAACCAAACATACATGTGTCTATTAAACGTGCTTTAAACAAGTTGGGCTCAATAAGCAGGAATGGGCCTCTGATATAGATTGTTTTTCTGTACATTATAAAGAGGCAGGGGCCTTGATATTGACTGATTTATTATACACTGTAAGGAGAAAGGGGCCCTGATATTGACTGATCTAGAATGCTCTATAAGGAGGCAGGGGTCCTGATATTCACTGGCTAATTATGCACTATAAGGAGGTAGGGGTCCTGATATTGACTGGCTAATTATGCACTATAAGGAGGTAGGGGCCCTGATATTGTCTGATTTTATTATGCACTGTAAGATGGCAGGGGCCCAGATAGTGACTGATTTTCTTATACACTATAAGGAGGCCTGATACTGACTGATTTTTGACTGATTATGCACTGTAAGAAGGCCGGGGACCAGATACTGACTGCTTTTTTTTTAATTATGCTCTATAAAGAGGCAGGGGCCCAGATACTGACTGATTTTTATTATGCACTATAAGGAGGCAGGGATACTGACTGCTTTAGAATGTACTATAAGGAGGTAGGGGCCTGATAATGGCTGGCTTGTTAAGCACTTTAAGGAGGTAGGGGCCTGGTAATGGCTGGCTTATTATGCACTATAAGTAGACAGGGCCCTTGATATTAATAGGTTCTCTGTGCACCATAAGGAGGCGGCAGCAGCGGCCCGTGTAATCCTTGGTTTCTTCGCCCCTGTCCACGATGCGGGTCTCGTTTCCTCCCGCTAGGCCGCAGTACTGTGACCTTGTAGTAGCCGGCCGGCTAGCTAGCTGTGGCTCCCGGGCCTGGGATTCGTGCTGCCCCGGATAGGTGGGCGGGCGTGGCCGGGCCTTTGCCGGGGGGAGGAGCCCCGTCACCCACGGTTCATTCTACCTCGTCCGCTATCCTCCCCTCCCTTCCTCCGTGGCCCTCGGATATCTCTGCCTCGCCACGTACATACATTAATATCATCCACCTCGGTGGGGCCTACTTCTCGGGCCTGCAGCCGGGGACTCCGGTAGGACCGCTCTCGGGTCAAAGGCGAGGCGCCACCAGCTTGCGTAATGCCAACACGGCAGTTTGGAGCAGAGGCAGAGGGATCGCTGGTGTCACGTTCCAACCGGAATCCCTGTATACAAGAAATGTCTCACTGTGTTCCTCTATCAGGACACTTGACGTTCTAAATGGAGATTACAGAATAAGGTGTCTCAGATGAATATTCTGGAAGATGTGAGCAGTTCATCTCAATTCTATTCGCATGACAGGGATGGAATTACATTTTTTTTTTTTTCTCTCTCAAAGACATTTAAATAATGAATGGGTTGGCAAGTACTTGTAGAATTTATGCGATAGATGAATTTAAAAAAGGGGAAAGGGAAGCACTGTAACTACTACAATTGTAGTGGTTATGGTGTCAGGAGTTCCATAGTGCTAATCCTATGCAAATAGTCAAACGATCACACTCACACGCTTACTAGGTGCCTGCAGTGTGCGCCTTCTATACAAGGATCAGTTTGTTTAAATATCTTACAGATCCTCATTGAAGGAACAACACTAATCCCTGACAATTTACACACTAGTGAATAACCCTGTAAATTTACATTTTGGCAATAATAACCGCTTCAACATTGACATCCAACAAAGACTCACTCGCCGCCAATTAATTATCATCCAGGTTGGGCAAAATTGACACGAATAATGCAGAAGTGTTAAAGGACCACTAGGGTGCCCCCAACCTCAGGGTCCCACTCCCACCGGGCTGGATGGAGAGGAAGGGGTTAAACACTTTTCTCCAGAACCGGGCTCACTCAGTGTTGGAGACTCTCTGCCTCCTTTCCCTGTTCTCTGAAACTGTGCTTACAGCAGAAAGGCTTAATCCTAGTTGGACCTAGCACCCAGACCACTTCATTAAGCTGAAGTGGTCTGGGTGCCTATAGTGGTCCTTTAATTCTGCATTATCATTGCAGCAGGGATGAAGTTTGTGCCTCAGAGTTGATTTATAAAAAATGTTTCTTAAAAGGACACAATAGGCACCCGGACCACTTCAGCTCATTAAAGTGGTCTGGGTGTAGTAATTATTGCAGTTTTTTGAAGGGTTAACTCCACCACTAGTGGTTGTCTATCAGACAGCCACTAGAGGGACTTCCAGGTCGTTAGGTGGCTTTTGGTCACCTAATTTAACCTGGGCATCCTCAGGCATAGGGTGAGGATGCCCAGCGTTACCAGAAACCCCATAGGAAAGCATTATACAATGCTTTTTCTATGGGGGTAAGTCCTAATGCGAGCATTGATTTCGCCGCACATGCACATTAGGTCTCCCCCGCTGGCAGCAGGAGCAGAGGCAGAACATGATCCAGTGCAGAGGGACATCAACCCCCTTTTTTTTTTTAATATAAATATAAACCCATTCTTCACCACGGGGAGGTGGGCACTATATGAAGCTATAGTGCCAGTAAAACAACTTTGTTTTCTGCACTTTAGTTTCCCTTTAAATTACTGAGGCAGTGCCAGGGGCCTCTAGGTTTAGAGTGCCCCTTTAAATGTCTTTAGTAAATTAGAATTATTTATTAGCCTTATCAGTACAGATAATTTACATTTGTGGGACACTCAAACATCATGCATGTGTAACTTTCCATTTTTTTGAGACAATACAATAGATAATTGTGTTTTCCTTTTTCCTGTGGTAGAAAGAAAGGCCAGTATGTACTGGACATTAACACAGTAATCTTGGTCAGTACATAATTGTGGAGTGAGCGCTGTAAAAAGTAACACAAGAACAAAAATAATGGCGAAGGAGAAAAAGTGGAAAAAAAACTGTTCAGCAACAATCTTTTTCTTCGTTGTATTTTCATACACAGGTTGGGCCTGCAGTGTACATTATAATTTGATTGTATTAAAGCATTCCGTTGTGTAAAGCTACGCCTCCAGAGTACAGCAATACACGTGCAGCCTAATAACTATACTCACTTCAAAGTCTTGACACAATCTCAGTGGCATCTCGTCAGATACCGAGGTGGCATAAACCTCCAGAGCACAAAACTATCCTCTAGGACGGTAATGAACTCAAAATGTAACCACCTTATTCTGTCAAACACTTAGGGTGCTGACATGCATGGTAGATGAAGAATGGTCAGGCCGGTGTTTACAAACGCTTGCCGTTTATGTCCCTTAATGGCTATTACTTGGTGCCATCACTAGTGAGACTGTAGGACACCCTGACCCCAGCATGAGCTGCAGCATCATGGTACCAGGAATGATGTGGAATCTAGTTATAGCACACTTTGTATCTAGCAAGATCTAGTATACCTTTTATTTTGGATAGTCTTCCTGGTTAACCTCTGCAGCCATCATTCTGACAAGGCTGTTCCCAGTGATATTCTTAGAAAACATACCAAGATGGTGGGTGTATCCATTATCCGAATAATCACTGCTACTTACACACAGTATAAATCAAAGGAAGGGCAATATTCATGGGGGGCACTTGACTCCTGTTGCCATTTGGTGTGGATGCCAATGGATGTACTGCATGTTTAGTGTTAAAATAAAAGGGAGGTTTTCCTGGCTTGCGTTTCTCTTTAATATTGGATCTCACTCTTCCTGTTAAAGTGAATCTGTAGTGTTAGGAATACAAGGCTCTGGTGTCCCACCCTGGCCCCTAGCAGATAAAGCATTTAAAAACGCTTTACTTGCCTTATTTCAGCGCAGACATCTCTCATTGCTGGGACACATTCCGCCTCCACAAACCTCATCCAATGGGGGGATCTGATGTGCAGCGAGTGCTATACGCAATAGTCCTTCCCCATAGTAAAGCATTGCCTCTATATTCAGGTTAAAATATTCAAGCTGTGACTATACCTCAGTTGGAGAATTTCTCCAAATCATCTATGTTTGCTTACATCTCTTAGTTCGGAGTTTAGAGAATAAATCCCTTTTTAATGTGTTTTAATCAATTTGCAACTGCTCTAGCTGCTCTGTCTCTTTTACAACTTGTTCCCTTTAAATGTCGCTGAGTACACCTCTTTCCACTCACTCTTACATCTTCCAGATTTTGTGTTGGCAGGACAAGTTTTCTATGTTTCTGATCACCCTGAAAATAACTCTATACATTGTTAACAATTAACTGAAATAAATAGACCTGTGTCAGGGCCATAATAGTGCATGGAATGCTGTGTAGACTATGACCTGCTAACATTTTACCTAATTCATGTAACAGTGCAGAAATTAGCTTGTACAATGTTGAGATGACTCTCTGAATTTTCAAAGTCTAGAACTTTGCTACTATGTTGCTAGCTCAAAGTGTTGCATTCTTTCACAAAGCAATTCTGAAAATAGCAGTACCTCTGCTGTCCTTTTTGTGATTGAATCAACAAAATCCCTTTTGGTATGTTGTTTGTGCACAGCTTCGTTCATCTAAAGTTTCTTTGGGAAGTTGTATCTAAGTGTAGCTAAAAGTGATTTCCTACAGCAAACGCTTATAGACCTTATTCTAGAAATTTATTTATATTTACTGGAATTTGCTGGTGTCTATCCCCCATATGACTTTGAACATGGAAGCCCAGACCAATCTTATGTTATAATGAGGTACATTTTAACTTAACAGCAGCACGATGAGCAGTTTGACTCATCTATTGTACCATTTTTCTATTTTAAAGTGACCCTATCCCACTCATGGCGAAGTCATGCCACCCCACCCACTGCTTATTTCAGGCTGACTGATAATGTTCTGCTATTTAGTTAACATACCTGAAGTGCCTAGGTTAGGCATAATTGATCTATTCAAATTATCTCAATAAATTCCGATATTCTGTATAGTTAAAGTTTTGGAAAAGTAACACAATTTCTACTGAAATCTGGCATTGACTTAACATTCTGACACCTATCGCACTACTATCACTCTCAGGCAGACTGTACATACTGAGTACCCAGCATCTACAGTGTTGTTACTGATAGGAGTTTGCTGTGAGCAGCCACACTCCCATCACTCTGTTAGCCAGCCCAGTACATTACTGTTGATTATTCACTGTCTCACCTCCCTGCCTTCAGCTGATCTCTGCATGCGGGGACTCTTAGAAAGGGGTGACGTGAGGTCACAATAAATATTTTCTTTGGCTGGTGGCTAGAGTTTTCACATGTAGAAGACAGCATGTGGTGACTGGGAGAGGTGAGCAAGTCATCAATAATATTGGTAAATTACAAGGTTGATACTGATTATCTGTAAAATGCTAAATATCGGCTCTAATAATTGGTGGAACCGATAAGAGGTCTACCAGAGTATCACGATGCATGACACTTTAAAAAAAAAAAAAAAAAAATTTTTATTTTTTATTAGTCTATCATAATACTTAAAAGTCAAGCTTTAGAGAGGTGTTTTTTTTTGTTCTCTTCCTCAGGTTTGAAGTAATACTAATCAGTATCACAGAGTTCAACACTTAAAAGAACTGATGTTGTTAGAGAAGGGGAGAGAGGTTGCTAAGGGTGTCATAAATAGTAGAAGACTGGCCAGAAGGTGCAGTTTCGTTGAGAATAGCTAGAACAAGTAAATTAACAGAGGAGAGTCAATAAGCTTATTTAAAAAAAAAAAAATCTGTAAAATGTCCACCTTCCAAGGCCTGAGATTGTCTCCCTGTAGAAAATGGAGAATTTGTGCTATTAGGAGTGTTATTGAATTTTTTAAAAATGCTCATGGTATCATGCATATTCAGCCATTATACAATGGACTTGTCTAAACTCTCTTTATATGTATATATGTCCACCACTCATCCCTTAAATCCCTTGCTATTCTACTGGGTGTCACTCTAACAGATGTACAGATGTATAAGGAAAGGTTTACTCACAGCCTGATAACGATTATTGAGCAGTGATTAAAGGCATACTATAGTGCCAGGAAAAATAAACCTGTATTCTTGGCGCTAGAGCACCCTCAGTTCCCCCCCATCCCCCCGCCCCACCACCACCATGGTGAATAAATAAAGGGTTAAACCTTTTTATTTACATACCTGATCTCCGTGCTGGGTCGCGGCTCTGCCTCTTCCGTCATTACTTAATGAGGGTTTTTATAATTTGCATTAGGTCCTCCACATAGGAAAGCATTCAATCAATGCTGATGCTGCATTTCTTAAAGGACCACTATAGGCACCCAGACAACTGCAGCTGAATGAAGTGGTCTGGGTGCCAGGTCCCTCTAGGTTTAACACTGCAGCTGAAAAGATAGAACTGCCATGTTTCATTGAGGGTTAATCCAGCCTCTAGTGGCTGTCTCACTGACTGTGATTCTCACTCTGAAAATCACAGTGAGAAGATGCTGGACGTCCATAGGAAAGCATTGAGCATTCCTATGGGCGGTTTGAATGCGCGTGCGGCTCTTGCCGCGCATGCGCATTCAGATCTGACGTCGGTGGGGGGTGGATAGTTCCTCAGCACAGAGGGAGTCTGGCGCTGGAGAAAGGTAAGTGGCAGAAGGGGGGCTGTGATGGTGGGTGTGGGGGGCCTAATGACCCTATGGTGCGTGAGGACATCCAGCATCAGTTAGCACCAAAAGACCGTTACTAGATGCTGTCTTAGTGCTGCAATGTAAACATTGACGTTTCAGTGAGCTGAAGTGGTCTGGATGTGTATAGTGTCTCTTTAATTGACATTCATGGTAATTACCTAAACACTTAATTTTATCTGGATTGATTTTGCCAAAATTTCAGGCAACAATAACTGATTTGGAGGAAAAAAAATAGTTTTGAGTGTACTTTTATTTCCATAAAATTCTGAGCTTTGGGGTAACCACTAAAAATCATTGTAATGGTTAGTGAACAAACATCCTACACAGCTGGAACAGCTTGTGCACTTTTATTCTGGTTAGCACAACGCACAGTCTAATTTTCATGCAGAATAAAAATGTATTTTTTTTTCTACTTCATTGTTTTCATTCTTGCTGGTAGCTAGCAAGCGTGGATTAGCAGTAATGTTAATTTATCAATCCTTTTGTATGAGGAAAACCTCATATACTGTGGGGAAAAAATGATATGTTAATTCATTGTTCAAGGAAAACTTTTTTTTTTTTTTTTTTCCTTTAAAGAAGTTTGGTTTTTAATGAGAATATTTTTCCCTTGTAGTTTATATTTTAGTATTTTCTCAAGTACAATTGGTGAAAGATTTCTAAGCACAGTAAGGATTTTGTACTGATTTATAATACAAGGAATCCTTAAGGGAACACTATAGTTTCAGGTATACAAATATATATTCCTGACACTATATTTCTGGTATGGATGTTTAGGTCCGCCTCCATGGGTGATATCCTTAAAATTGATGATCACAGCCAATCCAATGTTTTCCTATAGGAAAGAATTGTGAGGCTATTGCGTATGAGCAGCACAACACCACTCTGCGCCAGTCAGCATCTCCTCATAGAGATGCATCTCTACAGCGACAATCAGCGTCTCCATGCATGGTGTGGAGATGCTGAAAGCCAATGCTATAAATACTGAGCAGCATTGACACAAGAAGGGCCTCTAGTGGTCGTCTGAGAGTTACTAGGCAGCAATGTAAACACTGTTTGTTAGTTTTCTGCAAAGGCAGTGTTTACATTAGCCCACAGGGACCGGTTATAGACACCAGAACCACTACAATAAGCTGTAGAGGTTATGGTGACTATAGTGTCCCTTCAAGTGTTGTCACCCATTTTCTGTGAAACCATTTTCAAGATGATCTATAAGAAAGTGGCTCTTGCGGTACCCAAGCCAGGCCCCCTGTAACCACCAATATTATGCAGACATTTTATCATCCAATATTTGAATGCAGTAATTGGCTCTAGGCTTTCCCACCCCCGTCCCGCCTGTCATTGCCAGCCAAAGTTGGATAGCCATGTTACAGGTAATGTGAATGTAAAATGTCTCCATTATTTCAGTAGTACTGGGGCAGGGCCTACAATCCTGGGAAAGGCGCAGTTTTTGTCAAACAACTCCAAAATGCAAAATTGACAAAAACAAACAAAACTAAAGGCACTAAGAATACTGTTGGCACCACAATCTAGCAAAATGTCTTGGTGGTTGTAGTGCTTCTTTCAGTAAAACATTGGGGATATTCTCTAAATTATATAATTATACATTATTTGCTGTAAAAATAAGCGGAGTATTGTTTCCAATTTACCTATCTTATTTTTGCATGAGTTGTTTCATTTGAAGATTCTCCACATCCCTGGTTTAATAAATAACCCCTTATATCTCTTGTCTGTTCTTTTTCGATAACAGTGATTCACCAAATCCCCTTGCTTCCTTAGTGTGACATCATCAGCATGTGCCTAGCCAATCAGCTGAAAAGTTTAGTAGGGAGGCTGTTTGGTTTCTGTTACAGTGTGAGCACTTTAGAATCCCTGCTCGCTCCTGCTTAGCGTCTCTTGAGTACAGGTTTTCGTGAATGAAAAGAAGTTCCTACTTGTTTAGTCATCTGAGACATGCAAAAAATCTGTTAGAAGAATAGAGCATCTATTGTGTTTTTTGTTTGTTTGCTTTCTCCCTCCATGCCGGACTGTGCGTGTATGTATATATTTATCCATCTAAAGAGACACTTCTTCATTGATCACGCTTTTGCTGTGTTTTTCCACTGTGTCATATATAGGTCTGTTTCAATACTGTATGATAAGCCACCTGCAAATATTTTCTATGGCTCCCATTCTGCCACTGATTGTCATGCACTTTTTCTTATAAATATTATTAGATCTTATTGCTATAATATTAAGTCCACCACCATATAACTTGCTTAGCATATGGAATATGTAGGCCAGACAAAGGTGTATGGTGTGTCTTTTTTTATTTAATTTTTTTATTATTTTTAAAAAATTTAATTTTATTGCTGTTCCCCTTTTTATTTTAGGTCACCCATGTTCTTTATTACTATTGCCTTTTATTTAGCCATTAAGGACTAGTGGCATTCTTTACAGATCGTATGCTTATATAGAATGTCCTGCATGTTTACTATTGGTTTCTCTGTGGGGGCCTGTTATCACGGAGCACTTAGTAAAATAAAATAATTTGATGTGTTCCTCTGTTTATTTCATGTTACTGGGTCTCCCTTGGTTTTCAGAATTAGGATAGAAAGAACCATAACCACTACAGTTCACTGTATTTTTTTGTTGCAAATTTCTATGTAAAGACTTTATCACTACTCTAACTCATTTTGAAATTAGCTTTTTTTTTTTTTTTTTAAATTTCTGCTGTCCAGGTAAACTGATTGGCACTAATGTATTTTTTTTTTTTGTAAGCTTGATCTTTTGCAAAGGGAAAAAAATATATATATTTTTTTTAGCGTATCAGATGATGCTATAATCCTGCATATTATTTTTACTTTGTAAATATGGCTGTCTCATGGCCTTCCATTTAATGCAAATTGTAAAGTGCCCATGTGAGTTCAGTAATGAACCCAGTTGCCAATGTGGGTTGCATTGAGATAATAGATAATCCAGCACTCTGAAAAGCCATATCCCAAACTGTAATGAATTGATGTGCAGTTCAATCTTGCACATTGGTCTTGTTTTCCCTTTTGGTGAGTGTGCGTTCTAGTAGACTAGTGACATCTGAGAATTCAGAAATGGAAAGTAATTTGAGAGTCGTTTCCAGTGGAAGCTCTGCTTCAGCAGCAACAATTCCCAGCAGAAAAAAAATAGAAATTGTAAAAAATAAATAAAAAAATAAAGTTTGTTCCATTTTAGTTTAGTCCAGATCCATTCATTCGGATAATCTGTTTTGAACTTGGATTTATCCCACTGTGTGATTAACCCTGGGTTAATAAGTGACGTCACTGCCTACTCTTTCTTCACATTATTTGTGCTGTGACACTACTTCTATTAAAAAGGAATTAAACTTTTTTTTTTTTCTTTTTTCTCAAACCACATTTTTGTTTTCTCCCTAACTAGATGTACTCTGTTAACAGCATGCCAAGGCAAATTGTCCTACAAGTTTGGAGCCATGCAAGATTTACACACACACACTCTCTTTGCCATACTCACACATACAGTAAGCCACTCTATCACACATATCAAATAAAGCACACTTCTAGTCATCAGTCATTAGTCAAACTCGTATATCAAACTAACTGAATGCACAGCCTCACGTGCACACGTAGCAAGCCACACATTCTGATATATACGGTAGTTAAATGCATAACTTAAAAATCACTTTCCTACACATACATTCATACAGATAAACACAAAATGCACGGGCATGTATACATACATAATCTGTGATCAGCCTTTCCAGAGGAATTATTCTCCCTCGCTGCTCACCACTGTCGGTGGTAAAGGAGAGGATATGGTACCCAGAGTTAGTGTAGTAGGAGACTGTCTTTGTGTGAGGTGGTAGCACTCCTGCTTTTCTGAATGCTGTATTCAGGCAGCGTGCCAAGATAATGTGACGTCATTGCACGTTTTTCCCAGCTGGTAGAGTGAGTGAGCGTGGTGGAGAGCCGATATTAAACTGAAAACAACCAAAAGAAAAGCAAATCGTTATAAATAAAAATTATGCATCTTAGAAAAATCACGATCCAAAACAAATCTTGGTAGAAGTGGAGTATTTCCACAAAGGATTGACCGGTGGAACGTTCCATAAATAAGGGCTTTTTGCTGAGAGTCTTGAGACTGAACATAATGCTTACAATTCTCTTTAGCCCACATCACAGCTGTACAGCATAGGATTAATGGTCGAATTTCGCTAAACTCTGCAAATTTCCATAACGCAACTCTTGCGACGCGTGGGTTGCGATGCATTTGTGAATTGGCAAAATGTGATGTGGTAGCTCTGCATGTTGTCAAGTTTTGTCAACTTCGGGCTTGTACATAAAAAAAAAAAATACTTTCTTTTGTCTTATGATAGCTCGTGATTGCTGTGGAATGTCATACGCATTCCAATGAAACTTGATTGAACTTGCCAACACAGTCATATGAATATTCCATAAAGACAAGGGGGAGGCAGGCAAACTCAAGCAGAACGTGCTTGCCACTTCCATTAGCTCAGGGGCGCTAACGGAAGTTGGACGGAATTCGGGGAGTTCCCTAGTAAATTTATAAAAGTGCTGATTACTCATAGAAATCATTACTTTGATAAACTAGGGTACTCCTCACCCATAAAGCACTTCAGCAAGCTGGAGTGCTTTTGGGGTGTGGCATGGTCCTTTAAGCACTAGTTGCCATTTTTTGTGACGCCATATCCTGTGTATATATGCTTCGCTATTGTCTAAAGCCCCATTGAGAAGCTGCTGATTCTGCATTGTCACTGTTCTATAATATTGCTGGAAAGAGCAGTACCTCCCTTTCACCTGATTACAGCTCATGCTTACTGCTGCATTTACAGAATGCTTTATATTTTTTTTATCACATGGTGGATTTATAAAGTTTTAAAATCCGGTAACTGCATGTTATGTCTGTCGGAAGAGATTCTTTGCTTAGTTATGTCAATATTTAATGGGTTTTCTACTAAGTGGTTAAAAATGATAATGGGGGAGCTTTTTTTTCATCAGCTTTTTATGCTCTTTAGCTGGGGGATTTAACTTCATCACTAGGTTAAAGGAAAAAAAAAATACTAACATTAAAAACGTTTTCCACTGTTTATATATATATATTTTTTTAAATTCTGTCCCATTTGCTGATCAACATGAGGATACTCAAGAGTAGTGCCCCTCTGCTTCACCGGGTTACCGAAATAAAGTGGGTAATAATTGCTGAATAAGGTTCTCATAGCCAGCACTCCACTACCTGTGTCAGTAATTGTTCTAGCTAGGTTTTGTTTATTCTGGCCTGTTATACTGTTTATCAGCAAAAAAAGTCACATTTTGCAGTTTTTCCTAATGGCTTACATTAAAAACCAATGCTATCACTGTTACATAATGATGGTTCATTATGTAAATCAAATTAATTATTCTGTTTTCTAGAACTGCTAACATGTAATACCAAATTAACATTTAAAACTGGGCGCACATAAATACTCACAACGCACGTAAAACACACAATTCATACATAAAGACTACTCTCACACAAATACATATGTGTACACGGTTATATGCTGAACTGTTAATTGATTTATTTATTTTTTTAAATCTCAATATTTCTTTAAATTTTTAACGAATACAATTTATATCAATTTACATTTAAATATTCAGTCACTCAAACACCAATACATAATGATTCACATTACATATAAATGTACTACATTCATATCAGGGGGTTCCAAGGATAAAATTTTTACAAATTCAGAATATCAAGTATCTTTTAACTTCAAGTTCAGGGTAGATCTTACATAGTTGACAATTTGTTTAGCCAATTTTCATACATAACTTTTTTTTATTATTTGAGAAATATGATTTATCGTAAGCGATTTTTTTTTTTATTTATTTTTTTTACATTCAATTGTGTTTTAATTTGAAAGAGTATATGTTGTTTTTGAAAGGGTAAGGAGGACCTCCAATTTCTGGCTATTATTTTCATATTGAACAGCAATATAGATATCATTTCGTGATTTTAAAATCCAGTTTACATGTAATAATGCAACTGTAGGTGAAAATATTAGTTTTATACCTGTCAGATCATAATAGAGTTTAAAGACCCAAGACCAAATTTAATTAACACATGGGCAGAACCACCATATGTGAATATAAGAACCCAAACTACTACCACATCTCCGACACGTAGGGTCGCAATTCTGATACATTTTGGCTAATTTTGTTTGGTGTTAAATACCATTTGTTTATAACTTTAAAATGGCACTCTGTCAAATTCAAGCAATGTATATTTTTATAAGTATGTGACAAAGAGGAACACCATTCTTCCAGTGTTATTGTTAATTAAATTTCTTGCTCCCAGTAATTTATTATTTTTGTTGGGTTATCATTAAGTAAGTCTAGAAGGAGATTTGCTTTAGAAATTACTTTATTAACATAAATATTGCCAAATATATTTTCCATAAGACCTGCTGACTGAAATGAAGATTTTAAAATATTGATATCTAGGACATTTTTAATTCTTAAATATGTAAAAAATTCCTTTTTTTTTGGACTTGAAACTTTTTCACCATTTCTTGAAATAGAATGATCTTATCATCTTTCATTATTTGTGAAATTGAAATTGTATCTTTATTTGGCCAGTTCTTTAATAAGTCTTTCATATTTTGTTCTAGTACAGTTAATTTACAGTTTTTTGTTATATATTTGGCAATTCCCAGAGCTTTTTTTATCTCCTCCCAAACTTGTAAAAGTTGATATAATATTAATGATGTGTCTGTAAGGGCCTCTATATGTTTCTTATAACAGTTTAACCATAGATAGTACTCCAAATTCCTTGTTTTTGTTGCTTCTGCTTCAATAATGTACCAAGGGTCTACATTCACATGTTGCTCTTGTAATTTGTATATATGTTTAATTACATTCGCATAATATATAAGTACTGAGTTAGTAAAGTTTAAACCCCCTTGTTTTGTCTTTGGAAAGTGTCTTTAATCTGATCCTGGGCTTTTTATTCTTCCAGATATAAGATGAAAAACTGGCTTAAATCAAATCTAGCCAGCTCTTCGAAATTTTGAGAGGATTCATTGCAAATAAATAGGACCATTTGGGTACCATATATGCGTTTACAACATTTATTTTCCCCCCACCATAATGTTTGCACATTTCGCCATGATTTTAGTGTTTTATTAGTATATTTTAATAATTCCATTACATTCAATTCCATTGTATTTTCCACTCTAGCTGGAATTAAAACTCCTAAATGATTTATTACTTTTTTAGTCCTAATAAAGTTATATTCCTTTCTCAATTTTTCTACTATTGATTTATCCATATTTTTATACATTGCCGTGGATTTTAGTGTATTTAATTTATAATTTGAAACCAAAGCATATTTATTAATTTCTTTCAATAATTCTGTTAGAATGGAAAAAAGGGATCAGCGCTATCTATACAAGATACAATAGAAACAAAAATAAATAAGTAATAAGTGGCAGCACACCTAAAAAATAGGGCTCCCTCACAGGCCTTACAACAGAAATAGTACAGAAAAAAGAAAGGAAGGCAGCGCCACTACAAACCACATAAATTAAAAGAGCATAGAATAGGCAGACTAGAATGCAATATATATGATAGAAAATAAGCAAATAGAAGTCCAGAATAAATAGTCTGACTGGTAGATGAATCAAACAACAAGGTATATCTTTGTAGAGGTGAATACAGTCTTTAGTAGTGGGGGATTCTTCAGAGTGGTGTAGATGCGTCTTTGTACATCATATGAAATGAAAAAATAACAACTGATGGTATAGTATGTCCCGAAAGGGGTAGACGCAATAAAAGAGTATATGGTCCTACTCACGTTTTCAAGAGCTATGGACTTAGCTCTAGTGTTGATAATGTACACTGTATTCATTGAACAGTTAGTCTGTTCAACTAAATGTGAGTAACCACTTGTTTTTTTATCTTCTCACCTCTGGCATTTTATACTTTGAGCACTATTGCTGTTCCCGCTTTTATTTCCACATATGGTTCCCTAATCAAGAAAGAATACTAAGACCTCACGTATCCCATAAGTGGGGATTATACCACTGTACGCTATCAACGTACGCTATCAACACTAGAGCTAAGTCCATAGCTTTTGAAAACGTGAGTAGGACCATATACTCTTTTATTGCTTCTACCCCTTTCGGGACATACTATACCATCAGTTGTTATTTTTTTCATTTCATATGATGTACAAAGACGCATCTACACCACTCTGAAGAATCCCCAACTACTAAAGACTGTATTCACCTTTACAAAGATATACCTCGTTGTTTGATTCATCTACCAGTCAGACTATTTATTCTGGACTTCTATTTGCTTATTATCTATTATATATATTGCATTCTAGTCTGCCTATTCTATGCTCTTTTAATTTATGTGGTTTGTAGTGGCGCTGTCTTCCTTTCTTTTTTCTGTACTAATAATTCTGGTAGAGATTGTTCAGGAGAAGTCATTATAATTGTAGTATCGTCCGCATATAGCGAAATTTTGATTTCCCTTATGGCGGTATGAAAGCCTTTAATATTACAATTATCCCTTATATTAGTTGCTAATGGTTCCAATGATATAAAAAAAAAATATATATATATATAGCAGAGGTTATAAAAGGCACCCCTGCCTTGTACCATTCTTTAATTCAAACCACTCTGCGCATATATTGGTTCCAACAGTCCTTGCTGATGGAACCGAATAAAGTGCCATAATGGCGTTAAAAATACCATAACACTAAATCCATATTCCTCCTGAAGACTCATTATATATCCCCAGCCGACCCTGTCAAACGCCTTCTCTGCGTCTAATGACAGGGTCAGCAGGGGAATCTGCCTCTTTCCTGATTGATCTAATATGTCCAAAATTGTCCTAGCACTATTGGTTGTAGACCTCCTCGGTACAAAACCGGTTTGGTCTGTATGTATTTTTGGGATAATATTTTTCAGTTTTTCGGCAATAATTGAGGCATATAATTTAACATCGACATTGATTAGTGGAATTGGTCTGTAATTTTCTACATATCTACTATCTTTACCTGGTTTTACAATGGGAAGAATATTCGATTGGAGTAATTCTTTAGGAGTTTTGTTTTTTAATGCAAACTCATTTAAAAAAAATCTGTAAGGGGTTTGATCAGTATGGATTTCATCATTTTATAATATAAATTTGTATATCCATCAGGTCCTGGATTTTTATTTAGTTCTAATTTGCTAATTTGCTTGTCAACTTCTTCTAAAGAAATTGCTTGATTTAATATTAAGAGATCTTCTTCTAAAATCTTCATAATTTTTGTATTAGTTAAATACTTTTGTATATCTATATTTTTTTGGTTTTAAATTTAAATTATATAGTTCATGATAGAATTTATTACATTTTTGTCCAATTTGTTCTGGAGAGGTATAGATCATGTGATCATCCTCGAGTTTTTCGACTCTGTTTCCAGATCTCTGATTTTGCAGTTTCCTAGTTGTTTTTATTTGCACGATTCCCCGTATAATAAGTATTTAATTTCAATTTATTTATATTTATTTTAATTTTTTCTTCCATTTTTGTAAATTATTTAATTTTATTTTTCCTTCTTGTGTTGGTTGCAATTTATTCAATTTAGAAAGATTATTAATAAGCCATGTGTAAATCTGTTAATGTTTTCCCTGTTCTTTCCCTTTGTATATGATCCATTTTGATTATATAACCCCTCATTACCGCCTTGTGAGCGCACCAGTTTATAGTGTGTGGAGTCTCATTAGGCTTATTTTCCTCAAAAAACAATTTTAAAAGATTTGATAACTCTTTTTTTTTTTAATTTATCTTTTAATCTCCAAGAGTTCATTGGATATCTGTGGGATTTCCCTATATCAATCAATATAAAATTATGATCGGACCAAAAATTATTTTTTTATTACAATTTTACTAATAATCGGGATCGTCTTGGCATTTACCAAACACATATCTATTCTCGAATGTGAGCCGTGTGCACTGGATATATGGGTATAATCCTTTTCCATAGGGTTTCTGGCGCGCCATGCATCGTATAGGTCATACCTTTTACAGAGGGCCGTCAATCTCTTAGTTTGTTTTATAGTTCTGTTATCACTCTTTGGGTTGCCCTGTGATATTTTCCCCAACTTGGGGTCCATAACACAATTAAAATCCCCAGCTATAATCAATGTGCCTTTTGTTATGTTCTGTACCCTATTCATTATCTTGGTTAACATTGAAACCAGATCCACATTTGGTAAATATATATTTACCAAAGTGTAGGGAGTGTTTCCTATTTCGCACACCAAAATTAGATATCTGGCAAATTCATCAGATTCCTGATATATAATATCTACTTCAATCTCTCTAGAGAACACTATTGCAACACCTCTTTTCTTTTTATTTAAAGATGCATGTTTGATTAGAGGAAATCTATCTCCTCCCCAGTTCTGCTGCTTATTTTGTAACCAATGTGTTTCTTGTAAAAAACTGACAAATGATATAACCTGTTTCTTTTAACAACAGTGTTCAACCCCTGAACATTTACCAACATTATCCTGAACATTTAAGCCAACCAATATTCAACAATCCCTCTCCCCCTTCTTTTAAGTACAATTTCGCAAAAAACATTTAAAACATTCATATCAGGCTGACAGACACAAGAATAGTCTGCAGTCCTGAACCATACATAACCTTTTTGGGACATCCTTCCTCTTTTATCTTTGTAACTATTTTAGTTACAGAGAAACCTGTAGTGTTCCTACCGAAAGTGGGGCATACCTTAAATGGAGTGAAGAAATGAAGGTGCCTCTATGTTGTATTATCCTTCTTTATATCTCATTAACCACGTAATACATTTTTGCCTAAATTGCTTTAGGTCTTTATTATCAGTGGTTTTATCCCTAATAACTCAATCAAAAAGGATTAGGGTGATCCTTTTCTTATTTAACCGTTTTGTTTTACAGTCGTGTTTTGAATCTTAATTCAATAACAAATTGACATTTACCTATCTTGTGAAATTCCCTTAAATTTTAAATTAATTTATACCACCATCTCTAAAATACAAATCAACATCAACCATAGTGCAACTCATTTTTATCTACTATTTGTAAATTCTCTATTATCTGAGAGTCTGCCCTTTAAAATTAACCTTCTAAAGTTACCCTTCTATATCAATATATATTTATACTAGTTTATACAACCATTTCTAAAGTGCAAATAGACATCAACCATAGTGCAATTCATCATTATCTACTCTTTGTAAATTCTCTATTGTCTAAGAGAGTCTGCCCTTTAAAATTAACCTTCTGAAATTATCCTTCTATGTCAATATGTTATTGCAAGCCTTTAGTCATAAGAAGAAGAAGAAGAAGAAGAAAAAACAAACAAACCTATTTCCTTATCCTTGGAACATTGTTATTTACGGTGTTATCTTAATTTTAATTGAATATAAAATTATCTATTTTTACTTCAGGTATAATTTAAGTGTAATTCAACATCATCAATAGTGCATTTACCATACAATTTCAAAAATACCCTTCTGTGTCTCATATGTTTATCTCTCAATAGTGATCAATATCATAGTAGAAAAAAAAACCTTATAACTTAATTTCTTATCATTAGCACCCTTAATTTGTTATTTACAGTTTTATCTTAAATTTTAATTAAATATCACATTAATTTTATCAATTTTTACTTCAGGTATTATTTAAGTGTAATTCAACCTCATCAATAGTGCATTTACCATGCCAGAAAATACCCTTCTATATTTTATATGTTTATCTCTCATTTGTGAAGAGAAAAAAAAAAAGCTTAATTGATACATAGATTTGGTTAAACCAAATTCTTAAGTGTTAGCCAATTTGTTAATTTCTCATGTGTCTCAAAGACTTCAGAACGGCTATCATAAGTAAGGATTAATTTCAACGGAAAAGACCACTTATATCTTATCTCATGCCTTCTTAAGATCTGGATTGAAGGCTCTTCTTTTCATACGGGTATTGTACGATATGTCTGGCATTATTATTACATTTAGGAAGCGTCCTAAACGCCTTCAATACATTTTCCTTAAAGTCAAAGGAATAGAAACGAGCGATCACATCTCTAGGAAAGGATTTTTCAATGTTTTGGGGTTTAAAGACTCTATGACATCTTTCTATTATATCATCATGTTCTTTAAGTGTTAGTCCCAATTCCTCAAACAATTCTTTCAAAATTTCTTTTAGAGCTTGCTGATCATTTAACTCATCTAAATTTCTGAAACTGAGGTTTTTTTCTTCTTGATCTATCTTCTAAGTCATCTATCTTTGATTCCAGGGATGTAACTTGTTCTTTAATTTTATCATTAACTTCTCTTAATTTATTTATCTGAAAATCCGTTTCAACCAATTTATCTTCAAAAATGTTGGTTAATCAATTGGTTAATTTCGTGTGTGTTAGTAGCTATTTCTTTTTTTATTTCTACCAAATAGTTTTGTAAGCTCAAATTGAGTTGCTCTATTATAAGCGATTCTCTCACTCTTTTATCTTCTGGTTCCAAATTATCTGAACCGGTATTAGATATATCCAAATTCTGTCGGGTATTAATCCTTTGTTGGTCTTTCTGTTGTTGGTGAGAGAAATAATTTGTTACACTCTTATCATGTTGCTGTTGTTTATCTTTTTTTAATGTTCCTTTTGATTTTTGAGGTTTTCTATTTGCCATTTTGTTACAGAGTCTTCTCTCTTTCACTTAGTCTTTCACTTAGTCCCCTTTAAATTTGGGAGTTTCTTTCAGCTTTACTTTATTTCCAAATAAAGATTTTTCTCCTCTCTCTTCTTTGCTCTTTACCCAGCACCACACCTCAGTTTTTCTGATTTTCCTTTGCTTTTCCTTTCTTTCCTCTCCTCTCAATCTCACGTTTGTCTCTTTCTTTTTCAGATTGCTGATATTATTATTCAGAATAAATTACAATTTTAAACCAGCCATAAAGATAAAAAGAAATTTAAAACTTATCTGAGGGAGTGTCTTTCCCTTTGCCAGCTCCGATTTATTTTTATTTATTTTTTTGCAGTAGCTGACCAAACCTTTGTTGTTTTATGTTTGTGGACTTCTCATGTCTGGCTTATTCAAATCCAATCCATCCCATATAGGTGGTTCGCGCAGGTTTTTATAAATGCTGTTCGAGGTTGGAATTGCAGCTGGTACTCTGGAATCTCTCGTATCAGCAATTTATTCCCGCCTTTCAGCTGAGCAAAGAGTCGTGTTGGGAGTCCCCACTTTAATGCGAACAAGCCCATGCGTCTGTCATTAGTCGGCCGTCCTACCGGAGCTCTGCCACACTCCAACTCACTCCATCACGGTAGCCCCTCCTCTTCCGCCAGAGCGTTACCACGTCATGACGCCGCTGAACTGTTAATTGAAATGACCGTTGCAAAATTAAGGCAATTTATATTTGATTTTGGGGGAATTCTCCAAGGCAGCTATAGTCCCTATTTGGCTATTTACCCACAATTTTGCAATTTGAATTTGAATTCACTATAGTTCTAAGTTTTCTGGGCAAAACTGGTTGACTCTAAACAACACACATGCATTCACATGCTTATTGGTTTCATTATTTGCTCTCTCCTCCCCACTACTGCTGATCAGTGTTGGAGGTAGTGGATATAGGAAGCAAACCGCTCTGTACATGAATTTGTAAAAAATCCGCAGGGTTTGTGTTTGGCTATTTTTTATTTTTATTTTTTTTTTTAACTTTATTTTTTTTTCTGTGTTAGAAATAATAATCACAATCTCACATTACTTGATTATTTGCCGCAGGGGAAAATTTCTTATCTTTTACGTAATGATGAAGCATGTGTGGAGCCAATATTCTGCCTGTTTTCAACCTTCTGGTCACCGTTTTATATGTAGGCATCACATGGGACCATATCTAGGCTAGGTACATGCAAAAAAGAGGGTATATAAGCAACAAGAACCTCTACCCCTACCACCTTTGCTGCCAGGAAAAACTTATTTAACCCCTTAAGGACCGGCCTGTTTTTGCGATGTTGTACATTTGCGACCAGGCCTCTTTTTAAACTTTTGTGGTGTTTGTGTTTAGCTGTAATTTTCCGCTGTCTCATTTACTGTTCCTATACAAATTATATATTGGGTTTTATTCAGGACAAAAAAGGCTTTCTTTACATACCATTATTTATATAATCTCATGTAATTTAATTTTTAAAAAAATACAAAAATATGATGAAATTTTTTTAAAAATACATGTTTTTGGAATTTTACTTGCAAAATCTTTTACTCATCTACAAAAGCGAATAAAAGAAACTGCTAAATAGATTAAAAAATTTGTCATGAGTTTTAAAATACCCAGTGTTTTGAAAAAAGTAAAAAAACTAAATTGAATGCTAATTTTGGCCAGTGTTTGTGACTAAGTGGCTATTAAAAAAGACTGGACATATACCCCATTTGCAATACCTTGGGTTGTCTTCTTTTGCAAATGGTATGCCATCATGGGGGTAATTCTCATTCCTGGGCTACCATACGCTCTCAAAGGCAACGTAACCAACCTGGCCATTTTCAATGTAAAAATATTTGACCCATATATTTGACCCTGTAACTTTCAAAAACGCTATAAAATCTGTACATGTTTTGTTCGGTAGACTTTGCTGAACACAAATATTAGTGTTTCAAAACAGAAAAACATATCGCAACAATTAAATCATCAGTAAAAGTGCTGTTTGTGTGTGAAAAATACAAAAGAAAAAGTCTCTTTCACTGACAATATTATCGCTGTGATATGTTTTTTACTGTTTTGAATCACAAATATTTATGTCCAGCGAAGTCTCCCGAGTAAAACGGTACCCCCCATGTACAGGTTTTTAGGGTGTCATAGAAAGTTACAGGGTAAAATACAGTGCCAGCAAATTAAATTCTTTGGACTTTCAGCCTGGGTTGGCAGGCAGGTCCCTTAAATTGCAATTAATAAAATGACTTAATTATGTAAAAATATTATACAAATACGCACATAGAATTTAAATATATATGCATATTTATATATTTGAAGTCTACGTGTATATTTATATAATTATGTAATTTTGTATATGGACATATATATTTCGTATTATTTTTATATATATATATATATATATATATATATAGATATATATTCAATTTCATTCTCAGTGTATTTTGCTATAAATATATATATTTAATTTCAAAATACAGTTAGAAAAAAATTTCATATAGATGTATAATTTTATAAAATTATTTTTAACATTTTTCTATTTAATTTACTGTGTGTATGTGTGTGTGTATATATATATATATATACGTGTGTAATTTAATTATAAGTGTATTTTTATATTAATATAAGTACATATTAATATAAAAATACACTTAGTATGACATATCTTATTTTTTATTAACATTAACTTTTTTAATTTTTTTATTTTATTTTATACTTGCAGGGAGACTGCCTGTCAGCACAGACAGTCCCCCTGCAGGCAGACACATGGACACCTATTGTGACCATGTAATCGCTCTGTTGAGCGATCACATGGCCACAGGGGTCCTAATCCGTCGCAGGGAGACTGTCTGGGCTGCAGGCAGTCTCCCCACACTGGGAGCACCGCCGATCGCCACCGGGTGAATGACGGCAATCAGGTAAGTACATAAGACCTTTTGTACGGTACAGGACCGTCAGCGGCCGGCAAAGCAAAAACGCCGATGACCGTCCTGAACCGTCCGCGGTCGTTAAGGGGTTAAGGTTGCTACTTTTTTGGCTTTTGTATTTTTTTAATTTTAGGTTTGCTTCTGGTAAAGAATCAGACGTTTAAAATGGAAATGCATTGTCTCCTCAATGTGCTGTCCACGATCTACGTTGTGTATGTCTACTTTTCTAGTATCTGTATGAGCCGAGCTTGCATTGCTTCCTTCACCACTAAATATTCTTTGAACGTTGGTTGCCAGGTGCTCTCGCATCTGCAGTTGTTTACATTTCTTGATCATTGCTAAGACCTTAAATTGTGCTGACCATTTCTTCCTTCATGGAGGTCTTGAATTCCTCCCTGAGTGTGTGTTCTCTTACAGCTGTCCAGTGCGTGCTGTGCTGAGTGACTGAAATGTCTGCTAATTCCACTTTTCTCAGTATCTGCCATTTCCTAACTGAATAAAAAGATCTAGTTCTAAAATAAAGGGTCTGGGCATTCAGGACAGTCAGTCACACTTTTGCCTGGAGAAGATTTTAAGATGGTGGAGTACTAGATCCAGTCCAATTTATAACAGACAGTAATGGAACTCTGAGATAGTCTTGCAGCATGCTTCAGCAGACACACAGTGTGATGGGTCTTGCAGAACTATTTCCAGAAGGCACACAGTGTTGAGGGATACACAGAGGTTATGTGAGGGTAACCTTTATAGAAGGCACAGAGTTCTTATTGGAAGATACATTAACAGACCTATATAGTTCCGGTGTCGGAACTGATCTCTGCTAGTTTGTGTAGTCTAGTGGTTAAGAGCTTTGACGTTGATGCAGTCAACCAAGGTTCAAAAGAAACATTGTTCGAGATATTGCTTGCAGTGAATAGATTATTTTCTATGGATTAACACATACGATAGTAAACCTATTCACTCTTACATGTTCACTCCACAGTATCTCAACTAATGTAGTTTGTTCAAGTTTCAATAAGGACATTTACTATATAAATTAAGATAATAGGTATTTGATAACTACTGTACACTTGCAGAAATTTAATGAGCAGAAAAAATCACAGTGCGGTTATTGAAATCACAAAAAACAAACAAACACTGTCTCCATATGTAAATTACATGATTTTGCTATTACATGACGAAAAGTCATTATTTTATTAAAGACACGAAGGCGAGTATTGCTTATCCCTTTCTTTACTGTCCACCAATAGCAGAAAAGAATACAAAACATAATGAAAAAATAATGCATACATGGTAACACAGGCCACTCCCAGACCAAGTACCAGTATAATAGTAGGCACCTCCCTAAGAACGTTATTCTTTTTTGAAGATGCGACACACACCATAACCGAAAGTCCTCAAAACAGGAAACCAGCAGATGTAATCCATCAGCAAACGAAATGTAGAAGTCCATAACCATTAACACAGGACCAATAACCGGAAACAAATACGGAACAGCTCCAACCAGGAAGACGTTCCTCAAAGGCAGATGAAAGAACATCAAAGAGGTCCGAATTAGGCTGTGAAAACTTAAACAGGCGCCCAAGGGTTAAATCGGTACTATATACCAACATCAAAGCAACATAACTTGTAGGCATTAATCTACATCCTAAAACATTTAACCGATCCCCCAACAAATCCCCCAAAAGGCCGAACCGGTATAACCCAAACCAAACCCCCAGAAACACAACGCCCCACTTAACATCAAATCCAATCATATACAATGAGCAACCGGGGTGGGAAAAAATCACATAGAAATACAAGATGACAAAATTTACACATCAGGTGGGACAATACTCACCTCTTTAGTAAAATCATGACTTTTCGTCATGTAATAACAAAATCGTGTCATTTTATTGCAAGCCACGGAGGCTCATATTGCAAGTTTAAAGCTGACCAACCACCTCAGAAAACATGAGTAACAGGTAAAAAATAAAATTCACGTGGTCTGGTATGAAACTCATATTCGCGTAAGCGGGCCACCAGACATGAAGTCAGTGCTGAAGGGAATGCTGAATACGACACCTACTTAATAGAAGTCTTAGTACGCCTGGAAATATTGAAAGTCACACCCTCCGAGGTGTAGAACCTGACATCAAAATCCAAAGCACGGACATCCGACACCCTCTTGCAAGAGATGAGGCAAAAACGACAAACCAATTTAGACAACTGACGCAATGAGAGATCTGAGTTAGAAGGCCAGGCATTGGTAAAAGACCGAACAGAGCTATTCCAAGTAGAAGAATAACAGGGCTGAGGCGGACGAGAGGATGTTGGCCTGTGGGACAACCATCAAAACCGCGATGGGTTGAAGATATCGCCGACCTGTATAGATTGATCGTCCGGTAAGCCCTGCCGACTTCAAAAAGAGAAGTCAGGAATTGTAGAATCGTTGCCACAGGGGCTGAAACGGAATTCACGTCCCTAGCCAGGCACCAGCCAGCCCAAGATTGCCAAGCTGAAACACATCCGCCAACCATCGTTGAGTAGTCTCCGAAACTCCCTGGACCTCCCCGGTTCACCTGAAATCCGCCACGCCTTGAGAAGGATCTGTCCACCAGCAGAGAGTGACAGCAGTCCCAGCAATAGTCTGGGAAAATCAACCGACATCTCCAGGAGTTGAGGGAACCACGACTGCATCCCCCAGAAGGGAGCCACAAGGCCAGTTTGGCCTGATGGCAGTGGGCCTGAAGAAGTGTGCAAGGATTCATGGAAAACAGTGGAAATGGTTACAGGGGGCTCTTGTGCCAATACTGCAGGAAAGCATCCACTGCCTCCCCCGTCATGTCCGGTCTCCAGCTGAAGAACTGCGGGTGTTGGGTGTTGAGCCGTGATGCGAATAGGTCGATAGCAAATGGACTGCAAAGGCACAACACATTTGAGAACACCTCCGCGCTTAATTTCCAGTCGCTGGTGTCAGAGATACTGTGAACTCCAATCCGCCTAGACGTTGTGCAGACCCGGTAAATATTCCGCCAGGACCAACAAGTTCCAATCCAGACAAAACTCCCCAAATTCCTTTGCCAACGTGGCTAAGACCGCTGATTGGGTGCTGCCCATGTGGGTGATGTACCTCAGCGCTGAGATGTTGTCCATGCGGAGGCGAATGCACGCACGTGCCTGATCCCTCGCAAAACTCCGGATTGCAAAGGAGCCCGCAAGGAGTTCCAAAGACCTCCCGTTGTCACACCCTCGCAGTGGGCCCCCCGTCCGTGGAGGCGCGCGTCAGAGTCTATGGTGATTTCTGGTTGCGAACCGAAGATCGCCCTGCCATTCCACGCGGACAGGTTTTGGATCCACCATTGCAGTTAGTCCTTTGTTTTGCCATGCAGAGTCACCAGGTCCGCGTAAGACGCGCCCTACTGTAGGTGAGCTATCTTCAGTCGCTAAAGGACCCTGTAATGGAGGGGGGCTGGAAACACCGCCTGGATAGACAAGGTTAGCAGGCCAATGAGCCGTGCCAAATGATGCAAGGTAATCTGCGGGTGGAGAAGTGCCCTTGGCGGACGGAAGACTTAACGATTCCTCCTGAATCCACAAGGAAACCCAGAAATCCTATACGCCTGGCCCTGGTCAGGCAGGATTTCTCCCAGTTTATGATGAACCCCAGTCGGAAGAGAAGGTCTATGGTCCATTGCACATGCTGCGTAAGGACAGAGCGCTGAACAATAGGAGTCACAAAGGGAAGTGATGGGACACAGGTCCAGTCAGAAGGGAAAAGAACAAAAGACCCCCAAGCAGGGACAAAACACAGAGAAATTTGAAAAAAGGACCAGTGGTGTCACAAAAAAACCCCAACAGTACAGGGGAGAGACCCTTTAGCTGGTCTGGAACCCGGAGTCTATCATAAACACTAGTAAACAACAATCAGCAATACATGCAAAAATAAAAACCATTTAGCAAACAACTCTTACTCATTCAAACACCCACAGAGCAGAGAAAATAGGTACTTATCTGACTGGAGCAGCAAAGAAAGAGGAAAGTCTTAGGGAGGTTCTTACTATTATACTGGGACTTGTTCTGGGAGTGGCCTATGTTGCTATATTATTTTTCATTATGATTTGTATTCTTTGCTGCTATTGCTGGACAGTAAAGAAAGGTATAAGCAATATGAGCCTCGGTATGTTGCAATAAAATTGAACTCGCAATCCTAACATTATAATCTCTGTGCATTACCTCTAAGTTACCCTGTAAGTAATGGGTTTTTTTTTTAACCCCTTAAAGGACCACTCTAGGCACCCAGACCACTTCAGCTTAATGAAGTGGTCTGGGTGCCTGGTCCAGCTAGGGTTAACCCATTTTTTCAGAAACATAGCAGTTTCAGAGAAACGAGTATGTTTTCCTGGCACTATAGTGGTCCTTTAAGGACCAAACTTCTGGAATAAAAGGGAATCATGACATGTCACACATGTCATGTGTCCTTAAGGGGTTAAAGAGATTTTAAGACTTTTGAAGTATTTTAAACTGGGTGTACAGTTCACACACCCTGATCAAGGTGAAATCGAGCCCATAAGAAATCACCTCTCAAGGGCATACTGAGCATTCGGGGGGAGGGGGGATATATTACCTAAGTAGAGCTTCCCCATTTGGTGTCACACCCAAATTATGTATACCTTGGTTAACTGACCTCCATGATCAATCAACTTAAACAGAGGGATTGGCTATTTAACATTCTCTAACCAGTAATTAGTGAACCATGTTTTTAAAAAAAAACAAAACACTACTGAGGTTTACAAAATAAGTGCTATTATGTTGGTTATAAAAACATTTGTTAAACTCTAAATTTGTTAAACATTTCCTTGGGGAAAAGGGTAATATATAAAATAGCATAGTGTATTTTTCTCCAGAAAAAAGTGTAATACTCAGAATCTTGCATTTTACATTTATCGTGAATTCACTAAAATGTTTACGAAATGCTCGTAAAGACTATGTTGGAATTGCATATACTTTGTCTTATGGTAAACTCTCTGCTGGAAATAAGGCAAAGATATCACCATTAAGATTTTACACTTCCCCCAGCAATCTCTAATAATGACTGTGGGAATAAGGCATTATCTCTCTCATTGTGAGATAATATCTATGGATGGTCTCACAGAATCCTCCATATATATTGGTGTGGTACTTTTGCATATACACGAGTACCGCACTGATGTGGACTCCTACCGGATGAAGAGCCAAGAAGCCATGGTGGCTCCCATGAAGGACCGCATCAGGTAAGTATAATTCGCCTGCACTTTACCCCCCCAGCCACTGCATACCAGGTGGTTTTTGAAAAATATGCAAACACCCCAGAAGGTGAAAGAGCCATTTTAATCAATAGGTTAGTCATTGTCATTGCATATACTCCTGACACCTTCTCAAATCCTAGTACAAGTCCCAAGGAGAGATTTGAAGAAAGACTGAATCCATGCTTGTTTAGTGCCCAGTTAGCATTTTATTTTGTGCAATATTTGATGAGTCTATATTTTTTAGTTCCCTTAGATTGTAGTGCGGTATAACACCTATATTTATGAGTAATATCTGGCATTTTACTAAACTGCTGCTGTTATTTTTTTCTTTTCTTTTTTTTTCTTTCTTTCTTACATAGTCCATCAACTGCCTTTTATTTTTGTACATAATTGAATGACCTGGTCAATGATATGGTCTTGGTGGTCTCATTACGGCATAATAGATGGTAATATGTGCAACATATTATTAACAACTGCAAACACTACTTCCGCATATTATTTGGGGAGACATTCTCTCCATTCATGGTAATTGGGAATTTCAGGGATACTCAGAAATCCCTATTTGGTGGACGGCTGTGACTCCTGTATGTGTGTGTGTGTGTGTGTGTATATATATAAGAACTGCGGGTGTTGGGTGTTGAGCCGTGATGTGTGTGTGTGTGTGTGTGTGTGTATATAAGAACTGCGGGTGTTGGGTGTTGAGCCGTGATGCGAATAGGTCATATATGTGTATATATGTATGTATGTGTATATATGTATATATGTGTATATATGTGTATATGTATATATGTATATATATGTGTATATGTATATATATGTATATGTGCATATATGAGAAAATATATATTTTCACTATATGTATATGTGTATATGTGTATATGTATGTGTGTGTATGTGTATATATATATATGTGTATATGTATGTATATATATATATGTGTGTGTATGTATATATTGTAACTTTAAATATACAATAAAACACTTTACATCCAAATTGTCTAAAATTGGGTTTTCTTCTTTTTTAGAACATGGAGAGCTAAATGGTTCAGCTGGAGACAGACACACCCCTCCAAAGACACTGGGTTCTGACAAAGTTGCAAACCAGACTTCCTCCCGGGTTTCCAACGGCAGCCAGCAAGTTGTTGACGCGAGCACCAACCCCAAGCAGCCAGCCAAGGCCCACAATTTTGGCAAAGCGAGCAGCAAAACAAAACCATTGCTCCATAAAAACAGTATGGACAAAAGGAATGAAAAGTCTTACGAAAACAAAATTAAAGAGAGCAAGTGCACAGACAAGGGGGAGATTGGGCCTGTTCAGAATGGTTTGCTTTCCAATAGCCCTGGATATATAACTAACGGTTATGTGAGCAAAAGTGCTGAAAATGATGGCAGTGGGTCAGAGAATGGATATGCAACGCCCAAGAAAAGGAAAGCTAGGTGTACCAATGCCAAAGTGGTGGAGGTGTCCTTCTCTGTGGTAGATAAAATGATGGACATTGATGGCAAGTTGGAATCTGATTTAATAGCGGATCAAAGGGCTGGGACAAGACTGGATAATGCTAAATCCACTTGGAAATGTGAGTCTGGATTTGGTAGTGCAGGCCGTGGTAAACCAATCTCTGGAGATATACAGAGGAAAAACTCTGATGCCAAACCTGTCACAGGAAAAAAATTTGATGACCGGCCCAAAGGGAAAACTTCCCCAGCCGCCACCTCCTCTAAAGAGGACTCCTGGACTTTGTTTAAACCTCCTCCTGTGTTCCCAGTAGACAATAGCAGTGCTAAAATAGTTCCCAAAATAAGTTATGCAAGCAAAGTTAAAGAAAACCTCAACAAAGCAGCCCAGAACAACTCGCCTGCTTCACAATCTTCCCTTGCCTTCACTCCTCAGGCTGGTGAGGTCCCAACATTGAACTGTGTGTCCCAGGTCCCTATGTCTGCCATGAAGTCTATATCTACAGTAAATTTTGCCAACGGACCCTTGTTATTAGGAGCTGATGGGGGTTTTATGGCCACTGCTGCTAGTACTGTTTCACACACACTGCCTGGGGGAGCTGAAACTTTACCCTTGGAATCTGCTTGTGCCCCTTCTGAACAAAGGAAGCCTGGTCTTTTTACTTATCCTTTAAATATGCAACATGCACTGCCGGACACAATACAGGGGGAACAGTCTGGCCAGTCAAATCAACATAGTCTGGGAGAAATATTTCAGAATCAGTGGGGCTTATCTTTTATAAATGAACCTAGTGCTGGGCCAGAGGCCGTAACTGATAAGCCTGCATTTGGACAAGTGGTCTGGGAACACCCTATCCCATTGGTTTCACAGGGTGCTGATGTATCTGCCTCAGGAAATGAGCGCCCGGTTTTCCCCAAGGCCTATGAGTTAGAGAAACGGACTAGCCCTCAGGTTCCAGATGGTGTTACCCTGAAAGCATCTCTTGTGGGCCAAGGGGGTGATGGGGCTGGGTTATCCTCCGATCCTAAGGAATTAGGGGAGCTGCAAAAGACAGACACTGCTAGCCATGGTCATTTAGTGTTTCAGTCCAAGGTCTTTGATATGGAAGTTCCTGCACAGACCTCCCTGAAAAACACTTTACAGACCTCCGCCAAAGAAAAGGGGTACCACGGAGATCATGAACGCAAAGATAGCTGGGGTTCTTTTGACCTGAGGGCTGCTATACTCTATCACACTAAAGGTAAATCATTTGGTTGTCTTTGTAATGCTTTATGGGTGGGGCTTTACTGATAGAGAGCAAACATGTTAAAAGAATCTCACAATCTTTGTTTGTTTTTTAGTAGTATGAAATCTGTGCTATTTGTGAAACCCACTTTTTGGTATTGAGAGAATTCAGATTTTGTCTTTTTATGTTTTCTCTCCTAATTATTATATGCACACTCCATTTAATTTTTGTATATGTTTAAAGCTTTGTTAATTTCAGGCCTCAAGATTATCCCCCATCCCCCTGCAAAATTATATTTTCCTAAAGAGAAAATAACTGAAATTCCCTTCCAGATAAAAGATGTACTGAGACAAAGTAGGGACTACTTTTGTCTCCGTATATTTCCTACGCCTGACAATTCTAGACACCGGACGGAGCTATTGCCGTCTAGAAGTGTCAATCTCCCAGCCGTCACCAGTGACAAGTGCAGAGATTATTAGCTGTGTCTATGGAGAATCTCAAGGGATTCTTCATAGCATAGACCTCAGTGCTGTAATCTTGTTCGTGCGCATACAGCAGCGATGTGTGCTCCTGGCGCTGAAGTTGGGCACTGGCCATAAAAAAATGATGGTGTCTGCGAGGGACAGGTTCAGGTAAATCTCACTAATTCCTGCCCCCATTACCTTATATGCCCAGCATCACCTTTATAGCATATTTGTTTTCTAACTTTCCATGGGTCACTTACCATCCTATAATTGTTTTTGTTTTGTTTTTTAAAGCAAAACACAAGTATACAGATGTTGCAACATTTGCCATTAAAGCGGATCTGATTGAATAGCCAAGGGGTAAGCACTTCTAGCGGCTGCCAGAGAGACAGACATAGAGGCATGTCAACTCTGCAATGTAAACATTGCTGTCCCTGCAGAACAGCAATGTTTACAGTTGAAGGGTTAAAACTACAGGGACGTGGCATCCAGAGCCCTTCATTGAGATAATATAAATAAATAAATTTAAAAAAAAAAATGATATATTTTATGTATGTTATGTCATGAGAAGGCACAAAAGCATTGCCAACAAGTTATTGTAACTACTGAGTTAAAAGCATGAATAGCCTTGAAAATTAGTTTATCATGAAACAAACGATTGTGTTAAAATATTTAATATTTTGAAAATGTGTCCATTTTACTTGCAAAATGTAAATATAGCAAAATAATCACCATGGACAACATCCATTTGACAAACTTGTGTGTTTGGTGCATATTAAAAATCCCATTTTTACAAATCTCATAGATATAACTTGCAATACACCAGGGTGTATTTTGCCACTAACTTTTAATGCAGTGTATTTGTATTTTATAGAAAACTCTCCTGTAGGTCTTGTCTACACTCCAAAGTACTCTGTGATATGAACAGCAAGTGACTGCAAGATTCCAGTCACTGTCTGATCTCAATTTAAATGTTGTCAGCCTTGCACATGTGTGGAGTGTATAGGAACACTATAGTCTCCCAGACCACTTAATCCCAATGATGAAGTCTGGGTGCAGTGGACTTTCAGTTTTAACCCTGCTTAGTGATACAATGCAGTTGTTTTAGAACCTGCAATAATAACATTGCAGAGGCGTGTTTGGGCATGCGTGACTAGTACCAATTGAAGGATATAGCGGTAATGTCAGCTTGGATGCTGATATTACCAAAGAAGGACCTGGAGGCTGCAACCAAGGATTCCCAGCACTGGAAAAGAGGTGAGTAACTTTTATTAACCTTTTATTTATTTTTTTTTCCCCTTTTTTCTTTTTATCAACAAAGGGCAATGAACATTAGGAAACCTATAGTCCCAAAGTAACAATTGTTATTTTAACCCCTTAAGGACGGCGAGCGTGCTATGCCATCCTTTGGGACCCGGCTCTAAACACTGGCGGGTGGCATAACACGTCCACGCTGTCCTATATACTTACCCGCTCCCCGGCAATTGCAATGGGGAGGACTTACCTGCCATCCCAGCGAGTCCCCCTGCTGCTGTTCCGGATGTCCTGGGCCATGTGATCGCGAGATCCTTGCGAGGACCTCACGATCAAATGGATGGAATAGCCGTCCACAGCAGTGCCTGGAATGATCGGTAGTCCCCCTGCTGCCTGAAAAAAGTAAAAAAAATAAAATTAAAAAAAATTAAAAGGTTTTAAAACTGTTTGTAATTCAATAATATATACTTAGATTGTGTGTATGTGTGTGTGTGTGTGTGTGTGTGTGTGTATGTGTGTGTGTATATATATATATATTGTGTGTGTGTGTGTGTGTGTATATGTATGTATGTGTATATATATATATATATATATATATATATATATATATATATGTATATGTATGTATGTGTATATATATATATATATATATATATGTATATGTATGTATGTGTATATATATATATATATATATATGTGTGTGTGTGTGTGTGTGTGTATGTATATATATATATATATATATATATATATATATATATATATATATATATATATAAGTGAAAATACCGGCACTCAAGGTTTTCCAGAAGATAACTTCTCCATTTATTGCGGAAGAAAAATTCGACGTTTCAGCTCCACTGGGGAGCTGAAACGTCGAATTTTTCTTCCGCAATAAATGGAGAAGTTATCTTCTGGAAAACCTTGAGTGCCGGTATTTTCACTTTGTTTATGATTAAGCCACCAGAGCACCAGGTACTATTTTTATTTCTCTAGTTGGAGTGCAGGTGTATTTTGTATTTTTTTTTATATATATATATATATGTATATTAGAAAATAAAGGGAGCATTCTATGAATTCTTTTCAGTGGAAAAAATATATTTTACTGTATCATCAAGTAATTCATATTCTGTGCAGAGTATAAAAAAATCGACGTTTCGACCCTCATGGGGTCTTTATCAAGATCACAGTGTAACATTATTACCATAGGCAATACTAATAAGTGAAATAGAGCTTACCAATAGGTGATCAAACAGCCGGCGGGCCGAAGAACCCGGAAGTGAGGAAAACCACGTGGGAACGTGCATGTGACGTGAGTAGCCATGCATGTGACCGGGTTGCTAAGTAACCTCCAAAACAATCCATCTACTCCAATAGTGTGACCAAACTGCAGCCGGGCTAAGAAACCCGGAAGTGGAAGACCCACGTGAAGACCTACGTAGACATGCATGTGACCGGGTTGCTAGGCAGCCATACAAACAATGCCTATACTCCAGTTATAGATAGGAACGGAGTATATGGCTAGATATGGAGGAAGAAATAGTAGTTATATATCCCAGAAAGAGAACGGTCTGTTAAGTGAGCCAAATGTGCATTTAGTGCACAACATATATGAAAAAATAAAGTTAAAGCAGATCAAAAAACAACCGGGATACAGTAAGCTAGGTTACACATAAAACTATATTCTATAGAGTACTCTCTATTCACACACAACTGAGTCAGATCTATGACTCTATATTATAATCTTTCTTGTTTAAAGAGGAAGCATCATATTATTAATTGCTATTACTGACTAGTGTAAAGATCAGTGAACCATATTTCAAGAGTCAATATACATATTACTAAGCATAATGCTCATATGAATTAGACAAATTTTGCACATTCATCCTAAAGTTAATATTACATTAATCCAAACCTACATCTGTATATCAATTTATAATAGATTAGGGAACATACCACAGAGACTATCTAACAACTTAATCATATCCATACTCTCATATAGCTGATCTAGTTAAGAGATAAAAGCGAAATCAAGGAACTATCAAAAACTAACTTTACAGAAACATCGAGAGGTCCAGGTTTTCATTAAGTCCTTTCAGAGTCACTGTATTTAAATGATGAATCCAATAAGCTTCACGTTGAAGTAGTAGCTTCGATCTGTCTCCTCCTCGGGGTGGAACCGGGACATGGTCAATGGCTATGAAGCGAAGAGTAGGTAGATGATGTTGCACTATTAAAAAGTGCTTAGCCACTGGCTTATCAGTTCTTTGATCTCTAAAGGCTGTTGGAATCCCTGAGCGCTGTCCCCTAATCCGATCTCTTAAAGTCATGTCGGTCTTCCCGACATAAGATAATCCACAGGGACATGTAATCATGTATACCACATGTGTAGTCATACATGAGATGTAATGATTGATAGGAATTATCTTCCCATTGTGTGGATGGACAAATGTCGCTCCGGTCAGCATATGGCTGCAAGTAACGCAGCCACTGCATCTATAACAGCCCTTTTTTTTTATTTTGGGTGTCTTTGCATAGCACTGTCGGGTCATTCTTCACCAGTAGATCCCTCAGATTACGATTCCGTCTGTAACTAATGATAGGATTAGTTTTAAACCTCGCGGGAAGATTCTGGTCTACCTGGAACATGTTCCAATGTTTGTATATACATTTTCTTAAAAATGGAGTTGCAGTATTAAACGTGAGTGGAAGGAAAATATTATTCTTTACATTAGGACTCGTAGTCCTGGTTTGATTGAATTTGTTCCAAGCTTTCTCTCTAGCCATTTCAAGAGTCCGGGGGTGGAAACGTCTCGCAAGAAAACGATCCCACACTTCTTGAAGTTGTTGCTCACGGTTGTCAGAATTGCTGTTATATCTCATAATTCGAAGAAATTGTGAAATAGGTAGTGAATCTTTCACGTGTTGAGGATGGAAGCTGGTTGCAGCAAGCAGAGTATTCCGATCTGTGGTTTTTCTAAATAGAGTAAAACCTAGTTGGTTTTCATTTCTATATATCTTGACATCAAGGAATTCAATACTATGCTTATTCCAATTGAGTGTTAGCATTACTAGAATTGGTAAGTTGTTAATCAATTGAACCATATTTTCAAGATTTGTTATGGTACCTTCCCATATTATGAAGATGTCGTCCACAAATCTAAGGTATTTTATTATGTGTGGTTGATATTCCTGAAGGATATATTTTTCCTCAAACCAATACATGAACCCATTGGCATAAGCAGGTGCCATGCCTGCCCCCATGGCAGTCCCGGAGATTTGCAAATAGAAGGTATCCTCAAACTTAAAATAGTTGCAAGTTAACGCAATATCCAACCATTCCATAAGATATGGAATGTGGGGACCATTGTACATATCATCATTGGACAAGATCTTGGCTATGGCTTCAATGCCTTCTGTTTTAGGTATTATTGTATACAGGCTCTGGACATCCATAGTAGTCAAAATAATTTCTTTATCTGTGAGATCAATATCTTGTAATTGTCTGATAAAATGTTGTGTGTCATTCAAACACGTCGGAAGTTTTCTTACACTGCTATTGATATGGTGGTCAATAAATTGAGCAATTGGCTCAATTAGTCCCCCTTTGGCGGATACAATTGGCCGTCCTGGTGGCCGCTCCAAATCCTTGTGTATTTTCGGTATCGTATACATAACCGGATGTTTCGGATGTTTAACAAACAAAAATTTGGCAGTATTTTCATCAAGGTAACGATGTGATAATCCTTCATCAATAAGTTTTTCAATTTTCTTTTGGAATTTTGCCACAGGGTCAAAGGTGAGTTTTAAATATGTAGAGGTATCGTGTAGTTGTCGCATGATTTCATTCCTGTAGTCATCATGTTTGAATTACGATGGCACCGCCTTTATCAGCCGGCCGAATTATATTAGGATCTTGGATTAGATCCTTAAGTGCTGCATGTTCATCTTTGGAAAGATTATCTCTGTGATAAGGTGGTGTTGTCACAATCGGGCTTATCTCATGCCGTAGAATTTGCATGAAGGTCTTAATTGAAGGATTAGGTGTATAAATATCCTTTTTATTCCGATTAGGGAAGATATATGTATTGGTGGAACTCTCATCTTTTCTTACTTCATTGCTGTATAACGTTCTTTGGAGTTTATAAAGATCAATGGCCATGTCAAATTTCTTAGGTTTAGCTACAGGAATAAACGTAAGTCCTTTTTGTAGAAGAGAAATATGGTTCTGATCCAAGACCTTATTTGAAAGATTGAATATGGATGTTATCTCCGTTGTCTGGGAGGTTTTCCCATAGCTCCTATATTTCTTGTGACCCTTTTGTCCCCGTCTAAGGCGTCTCTGGTGTCTCTTCGGTTTTGCTCGTTGGTATTGATCAATCGTGGTGGGTCGTTTAGGTGTCCTCCATCCTTTAAAAAAGGAACCTGATTTTCTGTTTGGGAATCCGTCCTCTTTTCTCCATCTGAGGCCGATTCACCTGAACTAATATCTACTGTTTGTAGAGCAGGCTTCCTTATATGTTTTCTAAATCTAGGAGCAAGGTTACGTGTGTTAGAGTCTGATCCACTTAGCCAGCGGTAAACCTGGTGAAATTTGTAGTCGTGATTTACCTTTTCAACCTTAACTTTTTTGAAGCGGATAAGTTCATTCTGATATTTCTGTATATCATCTTGATGTTTAAGCATAAATTCAGTAGATGACGTCGCTTGCAAAGCAGTAACATGGGTCAATTCAAACTCCTGTATTGATTTTTTTAACTTGCAGTAATTCTGTCCCAACTTCTTCTATCACTATCACCATCCAGTCAAGAGAACATTTGTTTGAGATGTTCATCCATTTCTTACAAAAAAATAGGATTCTGTCTTCCTATGGTTGGGGCATTTTTTTTATCCAAAAACCTCTTGGAATTCGTTTAGATCTATAGTAGTCGGACAGAAAAACACTGTGCAAATCCAAATCCACCTCTCTTTTTTTCAATCTAGATAGATCATTGTATAAATCTTTTGCTGTATGTATATGAGGTAAATCTTGTGAGCTACGCGGCCATAATACTGATAATGCTTGTTCCTCTGAAATAGAGAGTGTTTCTGCTGTTTCCGCTAATGCTCCAGCTTGATTGAGAAAATCCTCCATAATAAATGGATCCTGATTATGCTGTAGATCACTGTTTAGGCGATAAGCAAATTTATTGTGTTGGGGGTGCTCGTGCAAGTGCAAGTTCCACGCTAGCACTTTATAAATATGTAGAAAAATAGATAAGCAAGGCACTCCTCCTTTACCTTATTCAACAAATCTCAACTGCCCAGGTGCAATCCTGCCATCCCAGCGAGTCCCCCTGCTGCTGTTCCAGATGTCCTGGGCCATGTGATTGCGAGGTCCTTGCGAGGACCTCACGATCACATGGATGGAATAGCCGTCCACAGCAGTGCCTGGAATGATCGGTAGTCCCCCTGCTGCCTGAAAAAAGTAAAAAAAAAAAAAATTTAAAAAATTAAAAAGTTTTAAAACCATTTGTAATTCAATAATATATACTTAGATTGCGTGTTTGTGTGTATATGTATGTATGTATGTATGTGTATGTGTGTGTGTGTATATATATATATATATATATATATATATATATATATATATATATATATATATATATATATATATATGTCCTGATGAAAGCTCCCCAGTGGAGCTGAAACGTTGAATTTTTCTTCCGCAATAAATGGAGAAGTTATCTTCTGGAAAACCTTGAGTGCCGGTATTTTCACTTTGTTTATGATTAAGCCATCAGAGCACCAGGTACTATTTTTATTTCTCTAGTTGGAGTGCAGGGGTATTTTGTGTGTGTGTGTATTTTGTGTGTGTGTGTGTGTGTGTGTGTATATGTGTGTATGTGTGTGTGTATATATATATATATATATATATATATATATATATATATATATATATATATATATATATATATATATATATATATATACACACACACACACACTAAGTGTATTTTAATATATATAATTATATATATATTCTCAAAATACATATAGAATAATATTGATTAAATATATATATATATATATATATATATATATATATAAATTATAATTAGGTGCACTCATAGTTCTAGTTTCCAGTGTTTTTTATTTCTTTGTGCAAATTACATTCCGACCAACGTTTCGACCCCTAAAGGGTCTTTTTCAAGATCAAGACCTATAGGGTCGGAATTATTTGATTTTGCACATGTAATTTGCATAAAGAAATAAAAGAAACACTGGAAACTAGAACTATGAGTGCACATATTACCTTTTTTGGATTTATATGGAAACACTGAGATTGCACCTAGACAAGAATTTTTTCTATTATTTGGATAAGGGTGAGTGCCAAGGTTACTTTCTTTATAATTATATACAATATAAAATAAATATGTAAATACGTTAAAAAACAAATAATTAAAAAAATATGTGGAATTTCGTTGTTACTGTATTTTAATATTAATATATATTGATATCAAAATACACGTAGAACAAATAATATATATATCTATATACATAAGTATATACGTATATATATATATTTTCTACATATATATTTATTGAATAATTTTTACATAATTAGGTAATTCTATTAATTACAATTTGTGGAACCTGCCTGACAACCCAGGCTGAAAGTCCAGGGAATTTAATTTGCTAGCACTGTATTTAACCCTGTAACTTTCCAAGACACCATAAAACCTGTACATGGGGGGTCAGTGTTTTACTCAGGAGACTTCGCTGAACACAAATATTAGTGTTTCAAAATAGTAAAATGTATTACAACGTCAGTGAAAGTGAAGTTTTTTGCATTTTTCACACACAAATGGCACTTACACTGACGATTTATATATAAAACATTTATATTTGTGTTCAGCGAAGTCTCCCGAGTATAACAGTACCCCTCATGTACAGGTTTTTTTTTTTTTTCAAAAGTAAGAGTCAAATATAAGGCTTGTGTTTCAGTTTTTTCACATTAAAATTTGCCAGATTGGTTACGTGGCCTTTGAGAGCGTATGGTAGCCCAGGAATGAAAATTACCCCCATGATGGCATAACATTTGCAATAGTAGACAACCCAATGTATTGCAAATGGGGTATGCCCAGTCTTTTTTAGAAGCCACTTGGTCACAAACACTGGCCAAAATTGGCGTTCAAATTAGTTTTTTGCATTTTTCACACACAAATATTAACGCTAACTTTGGCCAGTGTTTGTGACCAAATGGCTACTAATAAAGACTGGACAATACCTTGTGTTGCCTACTTTTGCAAATGTTATGCCATCATAATTCTCATTCCTGGGTTACCATACGGTCTCAAAGGCAACGTAACCAATCTGGCGAATTTCAATGTGAAAAAACTGAAAAATGTAACATGCTATATTTGACCCTGTAACATCCCAAAACACTATAAAACCTGTACATAGGGGGTACTGTCTTACACGTGAGACATCACTGAATACAATTTTATTGTAGTAAAAGCAAACTGTATTATGACGTTCACGGTTAAAATGTCATGTAGAACTAAAAAAAGTCTTATTTTCTCCATGAAACATATTAAATTATGTTTCATAGCTAAATATTTGATGTTAAATGAAAGCCCTATTTCCCCTGAATAAAATTATATATAATAAGTGTGGGTGCACATAATATGAAAGAGGTGAATTACGGTTGAACAGACATTTAGTCAAACTCCAGGTTTTGTTTTGATCACAACTTGTACATTTGGCTCAGTCCTGAAGGGGTTAAGAACTATAGGTTCCCCTTAAGTCACATGTCACAACTGAAAGGACATTCTTGCACCCACCATTATCAGAATTGTTGGAAAACAAAGGGAGGATTACTTTTTGAGAAAAATAAATACTTGGCACTAATAATAATAAAACATTTTGTCCCTTTTAAAAGATTGCTGGCAACTTTTTTTTTTTTTTTTTTAATGGGGGACCCAAGGGTTATATAGTGTCAGGAAAACAAGTTTGTTTTCCTGACACTATAGTGATCCTTTAATTTTTATTTCTCCTACGTATATGATATACTGATTTCTTCCAGTTTGGACCCACAAGCATGTCAATTTTGGGTCATAGTCCAGTGTTTCAGAACTAGTTTTTTTAATATGACCATGCAGTATATTAACATACTATATTTTCACCGGTTGTTAGAAGGAAAAATTAAAAGACAAATGTTACGTGGCTTATAGGCTTGGAGATGCATAATGATTTATAGCTAACTGATCAAGTGTTTTTTTTATTATTTATTTATTTTTGGCCCACCCTTTCATAGCTAGATTATGATTTTACTTTTAAATCAAAATTTTCATTTCGTTATTGAAAAAACATGGAAGAGAAAAGGTCAACAAGGTATCATGAGACTTGCAGGTCTCTGCTGTATTATAGAGCGTTCGGTCTCGCAGGACCAATCCGTGGCTTCAAACATCGAATAAAGATACATTTAATGCAGATGGAAAGCATGTGTGACCCGCAAGTCCCATCATGGGTTTTCTATTGTGAATCAATGTGTTCATACATTTTAGCAACAGGAAAGAAAAAGGTACTAAGGTAATCAGAAATATATGGAGGCATTCAGATCTCCCTAGGGCCCTCTCATTAGGGGGCCATATTGGTCACAGTGCATATTACCATCCTTGTAAAAGATTATGATTTTACATGGAAATTACAAACAAAAAGTTGAATTTTAGGATTTTGTATAAAGCAGGACTTGACAAATTTGCTTGGATTCTAGGAGCCAGACAAAAAAATTTGGAGCCAGGTTTTTCAATGTCAAAAATACAATTCTTAAAGGGACACCATATAGTCACCAGAACCACTACAGCTTAATGTAGTTGTTCTCGTGTCTATAACCTGTCCCTGCACACTTTTTTTTTTTTTCAATGTAAACCCTGCCTTTTTAGAGAAAAGGCAGTATTTACATTGCTGCCTAGTAACACTACTAGTGACAGTCACTCAGATGGCATCTAGAGTGCATCCTGGGTCAGTGCTGCACAGTATGCAGCATCTACGTTTAGCGTCTCCATGCTCTGCATGGAGGCGCTGAATGTTCCCCATAGAGTTGCATTGATTCATTGCATCTCTGAGGAGATGCTGATTGGCGTGGCAGTCATGGAGGCAGGGCCAGCTGTGGCAAGACCAGCCCAGCGCTGGGGGGGAATAAAAACGCCTTTCCCATGTGATTGGAGGGGGACCAGTCCCAAACACATGCACTCACTGACGCATGCACGCACTCACTGACAGACACACGCACACACAGACACTCACTGAGAGACACTGTCGTTGCAATAATCACACACCTTAATGTGATCACCCAGCTTCCCTACCTTTGGGAGAGCTGGAGTGGTTCGGCTTTCCCTGTGGTCCAATGGGGCTTCAATCATCTCCTTGCTCTGCTCCATAGAGCGCTGATTAGTGATGCCGGGGCCGGAATGATGTCATATTCCGGCATCACTGGTGGATGCCCGAGGGAGCAGAGCAGGGAGGTTACACCTCTCTCGTGCTCATGCCTGTATGCCTCAATCCTCCAGGAGCCTCCCACTCATGTGCACGCCCACGCTCTCCCTCTGCTGGCTGGCCTACCGACCGCACGCCCATGCTCATTATGAGCCGGCTGCCCTCCCGCCTCCACTAATAGGCAGCCGACCACCTCAGGGGCTGAATAGCCCTACAAATCCCAGGTGCCAGGACGAAAATCCTTGTCGCCATGGAGACCTGGCACCTTGGATTTGTTGAGCCCTGGTATAAAGTACAGTGATGCTTTAGGATTACAGAATATAACATTGTTTTTTATGGAAATATTATGTGTACGGACAGCTGAAGTAATGCTATGTAAAATCAGTGGATTAGTGTTTGCCAGACAAATGAAGTTAAATGTTTGGGATAGAACAGAGTTGGACTAAATTAAGTTGTTATGGTGCCAGAGGCAGAGGTGCCCTCTTTTCTTAAGGGGTTGAACTGTTCTCAAATGGTTTAACTCAAAAGGTTGTCTCCAGCACTGGATCTTCAGGTCACCAAGGCTAAATCCTTTTATTTGTTTGTTTGTTTTTTATGAATGGAGAGTTGTTATTGTGTCTGGAGTGTTCCTTTAACTCAGTGAACCGCTTTAGATTGCCAAATAGTTTAAGGAGTAAGAGTGAAAAGCTTTATAATAATGTTCTGCCTACTGTATTTAAATGTCTGTAGATGTATAGTCAAGCTAATTTAATAAGATAAAGCTACTTTTTTTTTCTTTTTAAGGATGCAGTTTGTTCCATATTATTTGAAGCCGCTGAAATGTTACGTTGCCAGTGCTCATAATTATACACTGATCAGACTTTTTGTCTTATTAAAATTAGCACCACTTGTATCCAGAGTACTCCATTAAAGCGTTACCTAAAGTATCATAACAACTACATCTGTATAAAAATCTAACATTGGTATAAAATGGGCCACCCCACCAACATTGAAATATTAACTGTGGGCAGCCAATCCCACCAACTGCATGTGGTCCTAATAGGATTATGTAAAAGTTACTGGTAGTGTCATCAAATCATTTAATACGTTCATTGTAGATTCCAGTAAATGGAAGAGAATGCATTTTAATCAGTGAGTTTGAGCATGAAACCTGGCTGAGAGCCTAATGCTATTCATACTTTGTATCCATTGTGCCACATCTTCTTGAAACATGTTTTATTTCTATTTATGCTATGGAATGTTTTTGCAAAGTACAAATAAAGCATATATTTGATCCTTGAAGAGGATTTCTGTGCCTTTTAAATGGAGGATAATCACGGACGTGGTCATGTGGCTTACAGTAACCCTTTAGGCTAAACATAGAAACGTAGAATGTGAGGGCAGATAAGAACCATTCGGCCCATCTAGTCTGCCCAATTTTCTAAATACTTTCATTAGTCCATAAAGTTGTTTTGGTGCTTACACCATCCCTTTAATGTTCATTATTACCTCTAGTCTTACTATTGTCCTGTACACCCTATTTCCCTGGTGGTGACCAAATAACTGAAAAATGAAAGGGAAGAAATTAGTATTTCAATCTGCTACATTTGCCAGATGGATGCAAGCTTTCTACCCTCATACCGTTTATAACTGCATCCTATACCTCACTACATGACCGTTTTAAATTGATGGAAAAATTAAGTTCTTTCCTATTTTGTATTTTAATAGACATTCATGCTAGCTTTGGTCATGACCTTAATTTACCTTGAAAATGCTAAGCAATCTATATTTAAGTTTGAGAAATTTGATCTCCTGTTGAGTGTCTCTGATTAATTGCCTTATTTTGACGAATAATGAACATACATTCATTTGCAAAGGTCTGCCCTTCTGCTATTTAAATTTGGAATGACTTTAGATGTGGCGGGTTCAAGGAAGCATTTGTTACACTACTTAGCTGAAGAAATGGTAATTATAACAATTGGGGGAAGACCAACAAAATTATCTGTCTGTCCATATCTGGGACTCTCCATTTAACCAGCATGCTTTTATCAAAGAGAAAGCTACTTGGAAGCAGCTTGTCTCGTTTGTGGGGCTCCTCATACATAAAAATATCTTAAAAAACTGTCTAAGTGGCTCAAAAAAAAGGGCAATTATTAGCTAGCACCCCCTGCAGTTTCCTCCCAACAGGTTTAGTGCTCAGTATGTTAAAAACATTCCTAGATTGCTAAATTGGAATCCATTGACGACTTCTCCTGAACTACATGCACGTGCCAGAACTGTAACTAAGCTATAATTCTTAAATTACATGTTTATATCTTATTTTATTTTTTTACAGAAATGGAATCTATTTTGAATTTGCAAAAACAAGGTAAGCCATGTTATATTTCTGTATGTGTTTTCCTTATCTTTCTTGTGGTATTTAATCACAGCCTTGCCATGATTCCATTTTGTCTCCGTTGCGACTTATAAATAATGAAGTATGGAGCCATATTTGGCTCAACAAGGAATGCACTGTATGAGTGCATAAGCAACTGGTGGGCCACTCCAATCCTGGCAGTAGAACGGGAACTTCAGCATGTTGCTCAGCCTGGTTGAGAGATCTGAATGTTAATTTGTTGACCTTGCTACTTATCTTTTGCTGAGGAACGCAAACAGTCGAACATCATATTATATTAAAAAGGAAGGGGATCATGCCCTGTAAGGTAATTTAGGGCTAGTTTACATTGTTGATCAGTTTTTCTGACAAGGCACCGGTTGTTAAAATTGGCATTGGTAATGTTTCCGATTCTGCAAAATCTTACCAATTTCAACTGGTAATATCAAGCTGAGAACATTTTTTAACGTCTCCTATAGAGCAGAATAGGAGACAGCATGGATTTTGTAGCAACTCGTTTCCATGCTAAATTGTACTATCTACCACATCTCGCCAAAATTAGAACCTGCCTTCGTTAAAAGGAAACAAAAAGTTATAGTAACTGCAGCAAACTCTCAGTACATCGTTCCATTCGCCAATAGGCGGATGCTAGATGCACTAGGCTGCAAAACATGAGTCGAAGCTGGGAAACTAATCAGTCGTTTTTGGCTTCAAATATCTACCGCGTATTAATAACAACCTACGGATGATTTTTGATAACAAATTGGAAAAACGCCCTGGGTTTCTGCAGCGTGAGCATTTAGCTTTTGAACTTTGAGCTCCTGAAATACAACTATATTTGTCCTAATTAGAATTTACTTATTTCAGACTATGTCAAAATGTCCTTGTTATTGTGAAGTCAACTCACTGTTCTGTGAAAAAACATATCATGAGTTTATTTTAGTAAGCAGGAACTGTGAAGTATTGACTAAGGAATTACAAATTTTAGTTCTAGCAGGAGCTCGGCGATATTTTTTTGTAACTTTTTTTTTTAGTGTAAAATAAGAAAATGTATTGTGTAATCTCCTCAATTTCCAGTTTACTGAATAACCCAGTTCATCTGTTTGTCTTTAAAGTGACACAACAGCCAAGTAAGATTTTTAGGTATTTGTACAGTTTCTATTCCTACAGTCTGTGCATGGAAAACCTAACCGAAAATGATCACAGAGGTTGTAGCTTATCAAATCAATATTGTATGTAATAACTTAGAACATGTTTTCACGCAGAATAATTCTGTAAGGGACACTAAGCTCAAAACCAGTGTAGCTTAATGTAGTTGTTTTGATTCAAAGCAACCTTTGCTACAGTTGCAGCAATGCACACATTGTTTATTTTGAGAAAAGGCAATGTTTTACATTGCTTCCTAAGGTCTTCACTAGTGGCTGAGGAATCCACACTGCCATTTAGACAGCCACAAGATGGACTCCCTGATGTGGACCTTCAAGAACCAATGTTCGGGTTCTTCACGCTCTGCGTGAAGATGCCGAATTATCCCCATAGAGATGCATTGAGCCAATGCATTTCTATGAGTGGATGCTGATTGGTGCAGTGATTGCTGTGCATGCCCACTAGTCCCCCAATCCCTCCTTATGTGGAAGTATTGCATTTGCTGAGGTCATCTGTAATGATGATCTCAGCCAGGGGAGGAGTGGCCACGACAGTGAGTCCATCAGGGGAAGAAAGGTAGAGTAAATCTGTTTGTTACTTCCGGAGGTCCCAATAATCTTACTAGCTTGTATAACACTCTGTCTGGAATACATGTTCGTATTCCTAACGTTAAAGTGTTCCTTAAGGGTTAACATCAATATGTTAGACACTTTTTGATTTTCCTTAAGTGGCTTTAAGTATGTGTTTTACTAAAACTTTTTTTTTTTTCCTCTTCAGATCCCAATAGGATAATCACTTATAATGAAGCCATGGACCGTCCCGATCACTGAGAATACTAACAGAGGACTACTGGCTTTCCTTTTCCTATGTCACTTCATATGTGCATGAGAGACATTACCTGGATAATCATGCCTTTGCAATTCTTCAGTGTAACAGTGGGGGAAAAAAAACGTAAAATAGAATCATTGGATATAATTATATAAATATATATATATATACATACAAATATATATATATATATTTTTTGTTTAGATAACTATGTATAGAAAAGTATCTCTCTATATAAATATATATATATATAGTTATTTAAACAAATTTTGAAAAAAAAATACAATATTAAGACACTTTTGATCAAATCAGGAAGAAAATAACCTACTTTCCACAGGGGATAAGAAGACCATTATTTAATCACTGGTACTTTTTTATTTTATTTTTTTGTTTAGGTTTGATTTTCCTTTTTCCTTTCCGTTCCCCCCCCCCCCTCTGTTTTGGGTTGGATGAGCTGCATAGGGGATGAAAGTGAATTGACCAATAGCATGATATGGATACTTCTCCTGACATACCTGGCTTGGGAAAGGTTTGCACTGGAGTACAGGAAGAAGTAAAAATGCTTGCCTAATTATTTGCCAACATGAGAGGATACAAAGGATTCTATGTGGAAAGTGTACTCCGTCTTATCCCTTACCTTGTATGTATCAATGTCAGTGCTTATGTGTCCTTGCAAAAAAAAGAAAAAAACAAGCCAGAAAACTGTGGACACATTTCTAGAATCACATTAACACAGTTTGTATTTTTGTAGTGTGGTGTTTTTTTTTCCCCTCCTTCTTAACCTGTCCTGTTTTCCAGCTTGGATATAGAATGGAACAGAAAATGCTCCCAAGGACAAATGCAGTGGGAGGAGAAGGGGGAGGGGGGAGGGGGGGTTTGGAAATACAAAATGCAAGCTATTTTAATTGGGGGGGAGTGAATCTGTTTGTTTTGGAATATTGGATTTTATGGTTTCCTCTCCCACGTCTGAAATATTTGGACAAAACAGGTTTTCTTATGTTTTATAGTTACAAGAGTTTCACTAACCCCCTTCGTTCCCCATCCAGTGACAAGGCAAAAATAAATAAAATGCTTTAAAAAAATAAATAAATAAAAGAAAAGCAACAAAAAAAAAAAAGATATAGAAAAACGCAAAAGAAAGTAATCTATTTAGGCATTTAATATATTTAAAAGTTAACTTTTTTTGAGGAAAAAAATAAAAGAATTACAGGTTTGTTCCTTTAGTTAGATGCTTTAAGAAAGGGGAACAAATTAAACGGATCTGCACAGGACTTTGACTGCTTTATCATGCCGTCTGTTGCTAATACTGAACGTCAATTTGTTTTAATTTTTTTTTCTTTAATTTAAAAAAAAAAAAAAAAAAAAATTTTTTTTTTTCATTTTCTGCTTAAACCCTTCCTGTGCTGGATGAGATATCAACTAACTACAGATCAACGTCCTGTTCTAAACCTACTTGATTATCACAGAGGTCTCTACAAGACGTTTCTTTGATGTACTCTACTGTTTGTCAATATGAGTTCTAAGCCTTTTTTGTTATCATTTGGCAGTGCCTCCTGTATGGGGGACAATACTGGAAGCAGAAGTTTAGCAATAAAAGGTATTGACCTTTTCTATTAGTCAACCCTGCAATGCATTGATTATTAGGTGAGTTGCAACATTATATTAACAGGGTTGGAGATTCTATTGTATGTCTACTATCTGTACCCTTCATGATCTCCAGCTTGCTCTGTTGAGTGAACAATGCCCATGTATCTACAACGGAGTTCCTTTTTGCCCTAAGCATTCATACAGAGTATCCATTAATTGTACAATGTGAGACTTCTACCCCTGCACGAGTGCCTGGTCAAGTGCGACTGGAAAAAAATAAATAAAAATAAAAAGTTTATTGAATGGTGCTATATATATATATATATATGTGTGTGTGTGTGTGTATATATATATATATATATGTATATATATATATGGAACATATATCATTGATGTCATGTTGAGTTCCCCTCCAGCAAATGAAGGCGTTAATCTATTGGTTGCAGGAAGTACCCGTTATTGCCTACCTGCCCTAGAGATGTTAAATTCAATTAACCTATTTTGCTGCTATTAAGTCCAGCAATGCATTGCAGTGAGTTGCGGAACCCTGTATCAGTGAGTGATTTATATGCCTTTTTCATGTGTAAAAGGCTGCAAGGCCTATAATATGTATAGAAAAGGTTCTGAACGAACCCTTCGGGAAGAAAAAAATGCATATCCTGAAAAAATATGGCTCGCGATAACTAATTTAACACAGGGAAGATGCATCACATTGTGTAATTTTCAAAATATCAACACGTGTTTGACAGTACTGTATCTGGTTTCCTTTCTCTCTCTCCTTGATTCTTTTTTTTTTTTTTTTCTTATTTTCCTTATGCAACAGGCTATGAAAATCACATGTGATTAACATACACGGTATTTTCCAGCAATGGCTCAATTTAGACATCCAGGTGCTGTGAACTGTGGCTTCCATTATGGTATTTTAGCAACATGGGCCATGTAGTCCTCAGCAGCTGGGTACCAAAGAGGAGCCGTTATTGGTATAGTGTAAGTACAGATCAATGCGTCTAGTATTTTTTAATTGCTGGAAAATTGATAACCCTTTGAACCAGTGGACCCCGTGCTCAGTGTGCCTAGAGGGGTATCCGCTACACTCAATGACGAGACCCTCAGAAGTTTAAAACGATCGTCCAGGGTTGCTGTTCTCTGAACTTTTGTCTGTTCTTGGAATTTTCATATTCTTTGTTTTTGCTTCAGTGCATTTGCATAGGGTCTCCATTCGAACCAGCTATTCACAAACCTTATGATTGATGTATCCTCCCATTCCATGCAATGTGCCCTTTTTAAATGCAATAGATACATGTAGTTTCTTTTTTTTTTTCTCCTAGTTTTTAGCTTGCTAATGCCCTAAACCAGGTGTAGGCAATCTTCAGCAGCTCAGTTATTGTGAACTACATCTCCCATAATGCTCTTACAGCCACAATGCTGGCAAAGCATCAGACGAAACGTGTAGTCCACATCTGGAGTGCCAAAAGTTGGCTGCCCTAAAGACTAGATCACAAACACTTTGTGTGGATTGTGACCTGTGTCAAAATTTCAGCCTGTTTGTAATAGGCTCTAGCCCGTTCTCTGAAAAGGCTGTACAGCACTATTGTACTACACTGAACTATGGACACTAGTTGTAAATTAACACTCCAGGCACCAAAATCACTACGGCATGCTATAGTGGTTATGGAAGCAGGAATGTCTGGCAAGTAAAAAAAAAAAATGTAAGTAAAAAAGTTTAGTAACTGTTTGACGTCTTACCTTGGGTCTTCCGTTCCCCACCTCCTCTTAGCAGGAAGTGAGAGGCAGAACCCTCTGCTAGGAGCTTCTATTAGGTCTCATGTGCTATGTCCTGCAGTGCGGGGCCAACTCATGTCAGTTGATCACTATAAACCAATGAGATAAGCCCTGCATTTCGCAGTGCCCAGTGGCAGACCCAAGGGAATTTGCTAGAAATGCAATTTGCTAAAAATCGGTTTGACTTCTAACATTAAGGTGCACCAGGGCATTCTTAGTGGTTATTGTGCTTGGAGTGTTTTGTGTTGAATATCTTAACTTGATAATATGAAGTGTTAGAGCCCCTTTCTCCCAATGGCAATCACTATTCTTATTGTGACTTATAGTAAATGCTATGGTCAATAGAGATTTGCGAATGGAGCTGCAGTGACGTTGCAAACATTCCTTTTTGTCTAAAAGAGGGCCTTATAGCAGCCACTTTCTCCAGCCGAATGACGTCATGTTGTTGTTCACACATGTCCATTAACGTCTTTGATTACTGGGGTTAGAGACTTACAAGCTTATTTGGTTTTCCACGTTTCATGATGCTTTGTTTCTAATCTGTCATTTTTTCATGATTTGTCTCCAGACACGTTTTTAATTTCTTTTCTCTTTGGTTAATTGTTTTTTTTTTTTTTCTATTTTTCTCTCGATTTTAATTAAAAAAATTTTTTTTTAAATCTTTAAATTCCCATGCCATATAACATCTTTAAAGTTTATGATTTCTGGCTTCTGGAAATTATTTATTTCTTGTGCTGTCATTTAAAAAAAATAAAAAAAATAAAGCAACCTTATTTCAAAACAAAATTACTGAAAATGTAAAGTATAAAGTGTAATGTTTTACTTGTTTTAAGATAAATGTATGTCATGTACCTATTGCAGCATATACATTCATATGCTCTTGCCAAATCTACCTTTTTGGTAATCTAAAATTTATTTCAAGCGGTTGTGAAAAAATATGCATTTCGGGGTTATATATAAAACTTGGAAATGATTAAGGAGAAACCATTAGGTAAAATTGTATTTCTAATATTTAATTGAACCAGATTCTTGAAACTGCATAGCTAGAAGAAGCCGCCTGAAGCCACAGCAGTCATGAACCAATTGTTCTGGTGTATGTCTGATATGTATCCATAAACTTCTGTACAGCAGACGTTTATGGAATAGTTTATAGACTAACTCACCGTTCCATTTATCACATACAGGGTTATACAATAAAGTGAGAATTCATAGTGAGTTCAAAGGGATTTTCAAATTTCGGGCCGAGTTGCTGTGATTTTATACACAGCCTGGTTGACACTTTTGTGAATGTGGTTGTGTGCAACAATTGGTTGAGTAGGTACAGTGTACATACTCATGTACCATAAAATCTGCAATAATACAAAGTTTCTTAGTTTGACAGTTTAACAAGACTTTCACATTTTAGAGATTAGTTCCACCCCACCTAAGTTATACTAAAATTTGCAAATTCTGATTGATTAAATAATCTTTTTTTTTTTTTATAAAAAAACAAAAACAAACTTTTATTCAAAGTCTGTCTGGTGATACGTAGGTGGTGTACAATGCAAACATACACTTTCCCCCCCCCCTTTTCCCATTAACTAATTTTCCTAATACTATTTTGGGCTATGCAAAACAATGCAGTGGAGGAGGCTGAATAGGTGGGATAGTAATGTAGCACAATTACATTAAGTGAACATCCCAGAAACATGTTTACTAATTCTTTTTAATACATTGTATAAATAATACATTTGAGAGATTCAAAAACAATAATCAATTAAAGGGACACTCCAGGCACCCAGACCAGCTCTGCCCATTGGAGTGGTCTGGGTGCCAACTCCCATCACCCTTAACCCTGCAAGTGTAATTAATAATTACCTTGCAGGGTTAAGTCCTCCTCTAGTAGCTGTCTATCAGACAGCCACAAGAGGGACTTCCAGCTTCTTAAAACATGAAAACGTTATGCATGAGAACCTCCAGCGTCACCGGAATCCCTATAGAAAAGCATTGAATAATGCTTTCCTATGGTGAGGTTTAATGTGCGTGTGCAGCCGTTGCCGCGCATGCGCATTAGGTCTCCCCTGTTGGCGATGGTGGAGCCTGACTCAGCGCTGGATTCATGTAAGTCCATGAAGGGGTTTTAACCCCCTCAGCAACATGGGATGAGGGGGGCACTCCAGGATTCTGCAGTGCCAGGAAAAGGATTTGTTTTCCTGGCACTGGAGAGTCCCTTTAAGTTTGCTAGAAAATCCTGGTCTTTGCAAATTCTGCAATGTTCTTTCACCAAACTACGTGATCGCCAGGATCATTCTCATGTATTTTACAGAGCACTTCTCAGCCTGCCCCACATGTGGTGTATTAGGTACACAGCCAAGTGTTCTGGGAGTTGTAGTTCAATTGTTGTCTTTCTACATTAGAATGCTAACTGCTAAAGTTCAAATGCCAGAAGCCTTGCGACTTTATGTTCAGCAGTGTTTTTGAAGCCAAAAGGAAACCCAGTGCAGAGACACTTAATTAATATTGCATATAATCCCATGTAAAGTTAAACTATTTAATTTAAATAAGGTATATATATTCTTGTAGTTGTAGAAATTGGACTTGGTTGAGAGTCACAGTCCATGGTATTATATACTTTTTATTTTTTTGTGACATCTTGCGTTTTCACTGTTTTGTGTGTGAGATCAACTCTCCTTAAAGGACAACTGTCCCCAGATTTTATTATAAGAATCATTGCAATGTATAATGAAAAGATATGCATTTAAAAAAAAAAAAAAGTATATGTAAAATAAGTTAAAAATCTGGCTCCTACTTTCACAGAACACTTGATCCTTCTGCCATATTGATACACCTTCAGTTGGATGGAGATAGAATTTTTGTTTCACTCTCTGCACAGAGTAGTGATGTCATCAGCCATCACCCAGTGTGAACTGCCAGGTCAGAATTCTGACTACATTGGCAATTCTCATATTTACTAAAGCCAAATATGGTCATAATTCTGTCAGCCTGACTGATTCTGTAACATTGGTTCAGGTGCGGAAATCTCTGATTTTCTGAACTTATCTGAACCAGTCTACACCGGAATAAGAAATTATCATTCACTTATATTTGCAAGTGAATGATAATTTGAAGAACTGGTTACCCACTGACCGCTCTAGCAACAAGTAGGCAAATAGTTAAAAACCTTTGGAAGCGCGAGGCTTAATTATGTGGTGGCTGGCCAGCGCTTGCTAGCCAGCCGCAACATGAAAATAGTAAAAAAAACAACCAACCTGTAACTAAAAATCATGTGGGTGTCAAGATTCTCATATTGCTACAATGGCCATTGCAGCTCAGTTGTTGGAAAAGGCTCCATTCCATAGGGATGAGGCCTGAGAAATATAGGGGTGTACCCCCCCATCCTTGGGCATCAGGTGGGAAGGGTACTATATGTTTTAAGGAAGCGGGACTAGTGTGCCTACCCATGCTGGTTGGTGGGGGGAATTAGGGGTCTCCATTCCCCTAGCCAATGCATAAAATAAATAATTTATTTACTAAAGCCCCCAAAACAGCCATATAAAAATACACAATTTCCGACGCCACTAATTAAAATAACAAATGACCCAATCGCAAAAAAAACAAAAACAGCCGGAACAAAAAATAATCCATCTCTATCCATGGAGGGCCGCAGAATGAGCAGTCCTTTTTAGGAAAGTCCTTTTATAGGCGTCCCACACTATGACAGGTATTGCAAAGTGTGGGAAAATTTCCCACGCTTTGCAATATGACCAAGAGGGCTCTGATTGGTTGGCTAGTAAACCAGCTCTGAGTGTGCTCTGATTCTTCTAATAATAATAAAAACATTCAGTTGACATTTTAAATGTTTTAATTCACTCTCTATCACTTCCAAGGGTTTAGATCGGGATCAGGCAACTTTTTATTAGCACTGTAGGCCCTTGGCATTCTGGTCCCATTTTTGTGTTTTAATGAACATGTGTGTTTGTTGCTGTATTCTGTTATGCATGTGTGCTGCGGCTGCTTTTTAGGGTTGTATTTTCCCGCTGGGTTATGTTGTGTGTGAGTGTGAGCAATGTGTGGTATTTTACGTGTTGCAAACGTATGTGGACTGTGTATAATGTATAAATGTTGACTGTATAGGGGGCATATTGTCACATTGTGTTTGGGAGTTGCTTTGGGTATTACATGTACGTGAGTTTTCAGTGGTGGTGTGTTTTCTGGTTGCTCTGTGTGTGTTTGCATGTAGAGAAGATTTCTACAGCTGTGTGGGTGGCTTCCATGGGGGTCAAGGGTAGGATTTTAATGGTTGCTGCAGGCTGTTCTCTTCCAGTGCAGAATCCACTTCACAAGCATTAGTATGAAATTATCTGATATCACAAGCACTGATGAGTGAGTTGAGAACTGCTCTTTACCACCTAGTACTGAATATTTGGTTGGACCAGCTTCAGGGGATATCCTTAGATCACCCCAGCCTGTTTGGGTCTGGCTGCCTCACATGCTATAGATTGCTGACCCCTGACCTACAAGTTTCAACATGCGTTAGATACCAAAGTGTACATTTTCTACAACCTTACTGTACATTAATCACTGAAAAATTAGTAATATGGAGTTGCTGTAGGGAAAATCGTAAACATACAAGAAAATCTCTGAAATAGTTTCCTGCTGAACTGTTTTGCCAAAGTTTAGAAAATCGCCATAACCTCAGTCAAGGTTTATATTGAAGATTATGATTTGCAGTTACTTTGTACGACGTTATGCTAACGTATATACGCCTAGATGTCCCTTATTTAAGGAAGTCAGTTTAAAGACCACTCCCCTAGAGATGGTATTGCACCATCAGCTGCATTTAACGTTTAACCTGTTGGGTTTCCATTTAGCATTTATTTATTTACCATTCAACAATATTGGAATCCAAACTTAAAGATTGCAGTTTATTGATAAGCCTTCTATGTGCAACAGTGTCAAAAGCCTTACTGAAATCTAGGTAAGCAATGTCTACTGCACCACCCTGATCTATAATTTTAGTTACCCAATCAAAAAAATCAATAAGATTAGTTTGGCATGATCTCCCTGAAGTAAACCCATGTTGTCTCTGATCTTGAAATCCATGTGTTTTTAGATGTTCATCAATCCTATCCTTTAACATGGTTTCCATCACTTTCCCCACTACTGAAGTAAGGCTTACTGGCCTATAGTTGCCCGACTCCTCCCTATTACCTTTCTTGTAAATGGGCACAACATTCGCTAACTTCCAATCTTCTGGGACTACTCCTGTTAACAATGATTGGTTAAATAAATCTGTTAATGGTTTTGCTAGTACACCACTAAGCTCTTTTAATAGCTTTGGGTGTAATCCATCAGGTCCCATTGACTTATGTGTCTTTACTTTTGACAGTTGAAATAGAACCTCTTCCTCTGTAAACTCACGTGTAATAAATTACTCATTTATCCTTTTTCTTAACTGAGGTCCCTTTCCTTCATTTTCATCTGTAAATACCAAAAAAAAAATATTCATTGAGGCAGTCAGCTAGACCTTTATCCTCTTCTACATACCTTCCTTCTTTTGCTTTTAATCTAACTAATCCTTGTTTTACTCTTCTTTTCTCATTTATGTATCTAAAAAAAGTTTAGTCTCCCTTTTTTACTGACTGTGCTATTTTCTCTTCTGTGTGTGATTTGGAAGCTCTTATAACTTGCTTAGCCTCTTTCTGCCTAATCTTATAGATCATTCTGTCTTCCTCACTCTGTTTTTTTTTATAATTACTAAATGCTAACTTTTTATTTTTTACTATTTTGGCCACATCTGCGGAGTACCACAGTGGTTTCTTGTATTTTTTGCTTTTACTGACAAGCCTAATGCAATTTTCTGTTGCCTTTAGTGGTGCAACTTTTAAATAATCCCATTTCTCTTGGACTCCATTTAAATTGCTCCAGTCTGATAATGACTCCTTTACACATATTCTAATTTTAGAAAAGTCTGTTTTGCTAAAGTCTAAAACTTTTGTTTTTGTGTGGTGTGACTCACACTGTTCTTATATTAAACCACACTGACTGATGATCAGTGGATCCTAAAATTTCACCTACAGTAATATCTGATACCAAATCTCCATTTGTTAACACTAAATCTAGTATGGCCTCTTTACGAGTTGGCTCCTCAACAACTTGTTTTAGAGACAATCCCAGTAGGGAGTTTAGAATATATGTGCTCCTGGCACAAGCACCTATTTTTGTTTTCCAATTCACATCAGGAAGATTAAAGTCACCCATGATGATAACTTCCCCCTTCACTGTCATTTTAGCTATTTCCTCAACTAGTAGATTATCTAACTCTTCTATTTGTCCTGGAGGCCTACATGAGTTACTGTGTGATTACCAAATTCTAACGTAACCCAAACGGACTCTATGTTCGCCTCACTAACTTTTATTAGGCTAGATTTTATGCTATCCTTCACATACAGGGCCACCCCTCCCCCTTTCTTGCCTTCCCTGTCTTTTCTATATAAAGAGTACCCCGGTATTGCTATGTCCCAGTCATTTTTCTCATTATACCATGTCTCAGTAACAGCGACTAAATCTTCACTATCAGTTGCTATTATTGCCACAAGTTCATGGATCTTATTCCCCAAACTGCGAGCATTTGTAGACATGACTCTAAGCTTATAATTTTTTAACACACTTGCTACAGACACCTTCTGTCCTTGTTTTGGGGGACAATTGGATTGATGTTTTATCACCCTTTGCCCCCTCCTCCCCCCCCCCCAGTTTAAATACATCCTATCAAAACCTCTGAACTGCTCACTGAGAACATTTGCTCCCTTTTGAGAAATATGCAAACCATCTTTTTTGTACAGTTTTTTCAATTTCCATTCCAAACAGAGCTACCATGAGAAATAAAGCCAAATCCTTGCTCCCAACACCATTCACCAAGCCACAAGTTAAAGTCCCTAATACGCATCCGCCTGTCATTCTGAGTGTTATGCACAGGCAGAACTTCAGAGAATGACAGTGTGGAAGCAACCTGCCGTATATCATTGGCAAAAACACTAAAAACTTCCTTAACCTCTGAAACCTGCAAGAGCCTTCTGTATGTGAATAAAGTTCGATTTACAGAGAAAGAGATACAATTGTTTAAGGTAAATTTCTTTTGAGTGAAAGTAAAACCAGTTTGTTGTTTTTTTTCATGCAGGCTGTGTCAATCAGAGCCAGGGAAGGTGTGACAAGAGCTGCATAAACAGAAACAAAGTGATTTAACTCTTAAATGGCAGTGAATTGAGCAGTGAAACCTGAGAGGCATAAAACTGCTTAATCAAGCTAAAGTTGTTTAGGTGACTATAGTGTTCCTTTAATTACAGTTACACAATGCACTGTGGGTGTTTTATGGAATCAGAAAGGTGAGGGTATATAACATTAATCATCATTTATGGGGTTAATTCACTAGAGTAAGGAT